ACTTGTACATACAACCATCGGATAGCTGGTAAAAAAACTGACATTTAAAAAAAAACTGAATGACCCTATGACGTTCTATGAACAATAGGAACGAAGTTATGGACTATTTTGACGAAATTTTGGAGCATGGCAGCTGCTACTCATATCGCCTTTTTTGCGCATACTACGATATATTACCGGTTTTCTATTATATAGATGACCTTTCTCCTATTCACGTGAATACACATAAAATGTAGAGACACGAGGACGGTATACTCTGTGATTTTTGGAGATATTTAGATCTAAAAACATAAATTAATGTATTTACCGTCCTCATACTGTACATATACCTCATCGAGCAAAAAAGCAAAATGAGTAATCTAATCTTTATGAAAAAGAGACCAAAATTCATAAAAGTTGCCTCTTAATATGGATGACATATCCGGAAATGCAAAGGCGCCAAATTTAAATTTTACGACACTTCACAATAATCATACAGTGGTGTAGGGGTTCTAATTTATCTAATGGAATTAGTATCTACAAAGTTTGAAAATTTTAATATAATGATTGTTTTAATTAGGAAAATATTTAATGTTTTTTTATAAGGTCATAAAACAGTAGCTATAAAATATGTTTCAGAATGTGTCTTAGACGAGAAAGTTTTAATTAAGATAATAGTCTAAAATGTGACACAATTGTTAAAAAACTTCAATATAAATAAGTATCTTCTTCTTCGTTTTTTTTTTTGGGTTTCGATTATATAATCATTTACCCAGTACATATAAGGTTATCGTTATGCTCGTCTTGCTCTAGGTAACTTAGACAAGGAAAAAAGAGAGGACTGAGTGGTGGACTATAAAAGAAAATTATGATGTTCGCAATTTTTTTAAATATAAAACACTATATTTTATTTTTTCAAAATATGTATTTTATTTACGAATCTCTTTTATTTTTATGAAGCATGCCTTATACTTAAACTCGTTACTTTCCTAGATATTTTTAGTTTTCTTCAAATTTCGGGAATACAGTAGAAATGAAATCGTAGGCTTCCACGGCCAGAGTCAGAATTATAGTTTATTCGTCTTCCGGGTTTGGACCGTGTCATTTGTTACCCAAAAGTGATGACCCAAAAGTGGGTTCATCTCGACGTTTCGCTACAATTGTATGTTGCTTCTTCAGGAGAACACAGAAAATAGAAATCAAAAGACAGGAAGATGGGTAGTTAGCAACGGTAAGTCAGTTACTCAACGCAACCAGAGGCGAATACTAACTACCAAGATGGGCATTTGGTCACAGTAACTCAACTACTTAACGCAGTCAGAGGTGAAAACCAAATGCCAGGACAGGGATTCACGTCCAACAGCTCAGAACACTAACGCGTCGAGAGGCGGGGAGTGAATCCGTATATTTTTATATATAATCCGGATTCACTCCCCGCCTCTCGACGCGTTAGTGTTCTGAGCAGTTGGACGTGAATCCCTGACCTGGCATTTGGTTTTCACCTCTGGCTGCGTTAGGTAGTTGAGTTACTGTGACCAAATGCCCATCTTGGTGGTTAGTATTCGCCTCTGGTTGCGTTGAGTAACTGAGTTACCGTTGCTAACTACCCATCTTCCTGTCTTTTGATTTCTTTTTCTTTGTTCTCCTGAAGAAGCTACATACAATTGTAGCGAAACGTCGAGATGAACCCACTTTTGGGTCACTCACAAATGACACGGTCCAAACCCGGAAGACGAATAAACTATAATACAGTAGAACCCCGATTATCCGTGTGCGGATTATCCGTGCTACTTAACATTGAATTGGCATTTTATCAGAATGACTTCACCTCAAATTACTACGCCGTGGAAAAGGTGTCATAATGTAATATCCATTACGACAGTGCTTAGGGAATTCCTGGAAACCAGTAGCTTATAATATGCCGCTGCGTGTTACGTCGAATGTGTGAGATTTAGTACATATTTACATATTATGTAGTTGGAAGCAAGAAATCAGTCGCTACTGATGACTCCTATTTTTAAAATGTCAACAACCAGTGTTAAACGAATGAGAAGTGTTTTAATGATTGAACAAAAACTAGAGATTTTAAACAGAAATGAAAAGGGTGAAAGTGTCACGTCATTATCACGGAGCTACGAAGTTTGTAAGCAAACAATACGCGATATTAATAGAAACAAATTGAAACTACAAAATTTTATATGGCAATCTGACTCTTTTAAAAACATATCTGCACAGAAATCGTTTTTAAAGAATCGACTTCAACAACTCGATGAAGCGCTTTCTAAGTGGTTTCTGCAGAAAAGATCTGAGGGCGTACCAATATGTGCTAAGTAAACGGAGATTTTTCACAAAAATTTGAAAACCAAAGAACTTTTTAATGCATCCAGTAGTTGGTTATAGCAAAAAACCTCACGGAATTCGTGAGCATATCATCCAAACGAAATCGTTCTCTCGGATCTCCACTTCGGAAATCGTTCTCCGAAAGTGGAGATTGAAACGTCAATAAACGTATTTTTGTCTTTAATTGTGGCTTATTCCCAGTTAAATAGTAATTAATTTAAAATGCCACAAGAAAATAGCTTCAGAACAATATTAAGAAACCGTTATGGGCCCAGTGTTATTCAAAATTTTCGGAGATTGGAAATTCTATACAAGTAATTTTAAAATGTCACAATACACTATATCTTCTGAAGAAATCCCTAATTTATAGCCTACAGAGCGCAAAATTTTTTTCTAGGCATCACATTATCTAGCTATGGAAAGCTGCAATCAGAGCCACAAGATGCCTAAATAAAACAATATGGAGAAATAAAAATATCAGGAAAGAAACTAAAGACAGAATTTACAAAACCGTCATCAGACCAATCAATAATGACATATGCAGCAGAAACAAGACCTGATACAGAGAGGACAAAAATAATGTAAGAAACAGCAGTGATGAAAACACTTAGAAAAATTGATGCTAATAAACTATGGGACTGAGCTAGAAGTACAGATATATGACATAGATGCAAGGTGGAGAAGATCAAGAACTGGGTAAGAAATAGAAGAGTAGAATGGAACAATCTTACAAGCCAAATTATACAACAAATACAGTAGTAAATATGGCAAAGACAGTTCCCCAATAGGAAGACAATCAGTAGGAAGACCACGAAAACAATGGAACAACAACTTACTGGAGGCATATTGAAAAACAGAAAGTCATGTCTATATAAGAAGAAAATTCACAACCATTTAGACATTTTCCAGTTGAAAATTTGATAGGCACCTGGGCCAGATTTGGTGATTACGAGAAGTTTTCAGATCTTTTCCCTAAATCATGAATTTTTTTAATGGTAACATGACGTGAACTATATCATAACTTAAATTGCATTAACATTTTAGGGACTTGACACCTTGAACCCTTTTTTATTATCTTCAATGGAAATTTTACTTCTTTTGAAGCTTGCAATTCAATTTTTCATTATCACATATGAAAGACATTGATCACAAAGAGTGTCAAGCATATCTTTGTAAATCTAATTACCTCCTAACATCTTCAACTACAGGTACTGGATGAAGACTCTTTTTCAAATTTCACAATTTCGGCCATCTTTTTTCAAATTTTATTGTGCAACACCAGTATGAGTTTAAAAGTTTACATTAATGTTTTCATTCTTTCTTCCTTTCTATGGAAACACAATATTTTCTTTATCTACAGGACTGGGCTAAATTAGATGCCATATCCCCATATTATCATCATATCAAATGTAAAAATATAATACCATTCAAAATATTTTAATTATTTTCTACTTGATGGCCCCAAAAGATAATATATAGTCATATTTTTTCTGTACTCAATTTGTTTACGATTAAAAACACTTAAATATTATGTTAAATTGGATTAAACCACAATTATTGCTTGTAATGAAAATCATAAGAAATCATTCTCAAAAAAGTTTAAATTTTCAAAAAAAAATGCTGATAAAAGATAAAAATAGAAATCTATAAAATTTTCCTTTGATACTTGCAAAACATTTCCTGATTTTTGTTTTGAAGCTGGACTATATAGTTATAAACAATCTTCTTGCAGACATTTCACCACAAATGTCTGGATTACCTGATAATTTGCAAACAAAAATGGAATAAACATTTGAGTGAAATATTTTAACTGGATGTGTGAGAGCAAGGTCCTGATGAACATATTTTATTTTCTTAATTAGACTTAAAATAACATTTAATTGAAATGACCAGACACATTAACAAACACTAACATGGAAAACAACAGTATTTGAAAACAACAGTAATTTATTAAAAAAATATTTATACAAACTTTTTAGATGACCAATCATACATAGGCCCTTACACTATTAATTTGTATGGCATAGGCAACCAGATATACCGAGCGCCTTCAATGATTTGTTTCCCAGAATTTCTAGTTTCAAAAAAATTTATAAATAACTGGATACTCTAATGAATATCAAACATAGTATGGAAATTATATTTATTAAACTGCTAATATATAATTAATACGGGTTAACTGTTATACACTTTCTAAAATTTCCAGGGAGAATATTTTCCAAGTCTTTATATATAAATAAAAAAAATTCCAACAGGAAATAACGTAGACCAAAGTTGCGCATGTCAATTAATCGTGGACAATTTTAAATGAGTCAAAAAAATAACTACATGCTTATTTTGATTCTTAGAAGGCGATAAATAATCATTAGGCAAATACTGATTAAAATTATTTATTTTGTCATTAGCGACCTTGAATATAGGTAAATAAAAACACAAAATATATTAAAATTTTGGAATTTTATTACTTCAGAATTACTTTTATAAATTGATAAAATACGATCAAAAAGGCTTAAAATGATATACGATGGTAAAATATAGCACGAAATAATTTTTTTATAAAATTCAACTTGAAATCCAAATATACCACGCCTACAAAATGTCCGCAGTTCGCCTTTGTTTCTCGTCGCCATATTGGAAGAAAATTATTCCCTAAACAACCAAACATATTTTACAAATTTTACCTTCAGTGATGTCAATCGGTCCCGTTGATGATGTGGAAAAACAAGAAAATCCTTCTCCTTTGCACAATTCACCAAGATTAGACTCGTCAAGATCAAGTTTGATTCTTTTTGCACAGGATTCGTGTTCCTGTACGTCAGGATAGGAATCCATCTTTGACACGAATAAAAATCATTTTCAAGATCCGAGAATCGAGTAGCCGGAAGAGACGTGTGCGTGCGCAATCGTGAATTCTTTCATTCTGTTGGCTGTCAAGTCTCTAGTCAAGGGACTGGCTTTTTATTTTCACAATTTTTGGAACGATTCTAAAAATTGAGAACTCTCAGCCAAATTTAAGTGCTAGAATTGAATAAAACAAAATGCCGAAGAATAAAGGTAATATATTATACATATTCTTTGTTATTAGCTAAATATACCCAATAAACATTCTCAATGGCATATTGCAAACATGCATCCCTTTTGTGATATTTTCAAGGAAATTTTGTACTACACGTTTTCGTAGCCTTCATGTTAATAACTCTCAATATATGTTTCAACCATTCGTGTAAATTTAATTTTTCACTTTATTCGATAATGTACATAACCTATAAATCTGAAGTATTCCTAATTGCATGATGAATTGAACTAATTTTCAGACATCAACACCATAATTTTGATTTATACAGAGAACTACGAACGCAATTTATATATGTTTGGTTTTTTACGTTGACAAGTTTGTTTTTTATATTGTGTTCTGAATCATATCTAAACTTAAGCAAATTGTCTAATATTGATATTTCTTAATCACTATCAGCTTGTAATTGTAATGTACAACCAAAGAATATAGACTCCTATGCGTCTATATTCTTTGATACAACCAAAGAATATAGACCCATATGCGCCTATATTCTTTGATATAACTTATGGATTGAAATTCAATAACTATGAAAATTTGTAACTATTTTAGGTAAAGGAGGTAAAAATCGTAGGAGGGGGAAGAATGAAAATGAAACAGAAAAACGTGAATTGGTATTCAAAGAAGATGGACAAGAATATGCACAAGTCACAAAAATGTTGGGTAATGGTAGGCTAGAGGCTATGTGTTTTGATGGTGTCAAGAGGTTATGCCATATTAGAGGGAAACTTAGAAAGAAGGTTAGTTTCCTATCATTTAAAAACATAATTTTGAAAAATACAAGGTAATTTAATGTAATAATCCAGATAATAATGGGAAATAACCACAAATTGAATTAAAAATGTTTATTTTGATTTTCAATTTCTGATTCGGAAATGTTTCTAAAATTATCAAAATAAATGAATGTTTAATTAAAATTGTGTTTATATCCCAATAAAAAAGGTAGATAATACTAATACCAGAAGAAAATAGTTTTAGAACCATATTAAGAAATTAGTATAATTAGTTACCTAAAATTTTAGATTAGATATTTTCTTTAAAGAACAATCAAATTTTAATGAAGATCTAAAGACAATAACATCATATTGAACATCATATTGACAATTCCAGAAAATAAAAAGCAGGAAGCATTTGAGATGACTTATAAAAGAATTCTTAAAATTTTTAAATTGTTAAAATTGGATGAACCAAAAATTAAAAATAAGATTACTACAAAAATTTAATAAAGTTATATACATAGTAAAACCTAGACAATTGATCCAACATTCATTACAGAACTATTCAGAGAAGCAACAAATAAAATTATAATTGCCAACATTAAATAACTGATGACACTAGAAGAATGAAGAGCTAGTTTATCAATGATTATAGAAAGTTTACAGTACCATAGATTTCATTTGTTTTTCATTAAAAGACTATGACCATGACTAATCAACCAGAAGAACTAATAATTACGGTGGCACAAACAAGAATAGAACAAATAAAAAGAGTATTATATATCTAGGCCAAATCACTAAATTAAATAAAGAAAATCAGACCGAAGAAATAAAGAGAAGAATAAGATTGGCCTGGGCATCATTTGGAAAACTGTCTTATATTCTAAAGAATTCAAAATACCTCCAATACCTACAAACGAGAGTCTTCAATCAATGTATACTCCCTGTCCTCACATATGGCTCTCAGACATGGACCCTCACAAAGGAAAATATCGAAAAATAGCAAAGACAGAAAGATTCCTGGAAAGACAAATGCTGAACATTAAACTATCAGACAGAAAAAGAAACGAATGGATCCGTAATAAAACAAAAGTGAAAGATGTCTCAACCCAAGTAGCAAAGCTTAAATGGAAGTTCGCCGGACACACCCTAAGGCAGAAACGCCGGGCCAAAATGGATGCAAATTGCCCAAGATAGAGAGGCATGGAAGAAGGAGGAGGAGGCCTATATCCAAGGATGGATGTTTAGGGCTGTATAGATAGATAGCTTTAATTATATTCTTTTATCCAAAGCAGAAAGAAATTATAGCATGGTACAAAAATAGGATTTCAGTATTTTTAGGGATGTGGCCAAGTTTTATGAATACTTTATTATAGTACAACAAATATTCTATGGAAATAAAACTTAGCAAAAATGGTAACAGAAGAGAATTATACTTTATTGATACTGTATACCAAAAGGCCTTTCAGAAAACTGAAGTCTTTCAGAAAATTTATAGAATTATAGATACATTAAACTATTTTTTTAAGACTAAATATACAATAGCTAAAGAAAATGGTAATGGTAATTATAATATTGTCAAACTAAAAAGCATAAAAAAGACACGAAAAGAAAGTTGTTTGTTTATTGTGTTGATATTTAGAGGATTTTCAGGTATCTTCGTAACATGAAGCTCAATCAATTGCATGTGTTTTCTTTAATAGGGAAAGATTTAACAAATTATTGAGTCTCTCATTAACACCTTTGCTGCAATTACAAAAAATTCAATTAATCTGTTGTAATTGACTGGTACAATAGAATTCTGTATAAGATTTATGTGTAGTAATAGTTGTATACATACGAGGAATATACAAACTTGCTTGAAACTGTATCAGTACCAGGCTATTCATTTTAGTAAAGCAAAAACTGAAATTTTTAAGAAGTGCATAATATTTTCAAGTAAAATAAATCAAAAACTTTTATTAAAATACATATTATAAAAATAACATATGCTAATTATTAGTAAGTATAAGTTTTAAAATTTATACATTCTGTTTAAAATTAAGACATAGTAAACATAAACCAGGTTTTTCATCGCATATGCTACATTATGTAGTAACTTTAATGACCTTTTTATCAGTTTATTTACTTTTCACTGTTTCCCTAACATTCCATACAATTTCGCTTTTATTTTATACCAGGTACTTCGGGTTTGTTTTCTCAAAACTGATTTTATATTCGTCATTATCTGAATTAGTTGAACATTCATAAGGAGCGTAATTAGAATCACAGTCCAAATTGTCGCTAAATGGTTCTTATTCTGATTCGCTTAAAGTATTTATAATTGTTTCTTGGTGCCGGTCCAATTTCTGATTTTGGTCGTCTACACAACTAGCACTTGTAGTTTCATTTTGCAACTCCAAATTTATTAATTTAACAGTGCTACTCATTTTACTCAATTCTTTTACAAATATTTTAAACAATATTATGGCTCGACCGAGATAACTAAACTAAACTGGTAATTACAATGAAATTCTGGAGTACCAGAAATTGAATTCACTACGAATTTTGACCATGATGAAACAGCATTTGGAATGCAATCTTAGATTTCCTTGTCATTTATTCATCAAGCTGTTTGCTTTGCAAGTTTTAGAAAACACAGTGGTTAAGATTTGAATTCGATTTCGCCAGGTATCATATGATTTCTGTTTTTGGTACTAACATTTATAAATTACTGCAAAATTAAAGGTTTTTTTTACAAATATATTAGTGAATTAGATATTTACAGTACTATTTAGTAATAAGATCTACAATTTGATTTCAACTGTTTTTCTCTAAACTGCATAAGAAACTTTTTATAGACAAAATTTTTTTTTCACTTTTTAAGATTGTTTAAAACAAAAACAAAGCAAAATCAGCTGTACATCTTCACAGATTTTTCATCAGCTACCCCTTATGTACCTTTTAGAACCTCCAAATATCTGTATAAAATTTTTATGTTTGTCTATATAAAATAATTTGTTTTAGGTTTGGATAAATCAAGGTGACATTATTCTCATAGGTCTCAGAGATTACCAAGATGCCAAAGCAGATGTGATTCTAAAATACACCCCTGATGAAGCTCGTAATCTAAAAACATATGGTGAATTCCCAGAATCTGTTAGAATTAATGAAACCGTTACATTTGTTGAAGAAGGTTTTGATGAAGATATTGAATTTGGTGATGACATCAGTTCAGCAGACGAAGCTGATCCTGTTGATGGCATCTGATGACATGAAGACGATGATAGTAGGTCAGGCCAATAAAGGTGATCTTTTTTCTGATAAAATTTATTGTTCAGTCCAAGATATTAAAATATAATAGAAACAGTTTGCCCTGGCAATAGAGAAAATATCTATAAAAAATTCCCGATCTTTGTTTCTAATTCGGTATTTACAACACCTGTATCATATAAGCCAGTTTCCCTAAATGACATTTCAGCCTCATTTTCACCATAGATGATCTCTATTTCCAGGGCAGTTTATAATTTTGAATGTAATTCACCATAAAAATGTTAACAATAGCAAGAATGTATGTAACTGATCAGTTATGTTTTAGTTTATCAAGGACTTTAGAAAATATAACATTTTTTGATTAATCTTTCTTTTTTTGATGTACCTATTTATTTTGTAGCTGGATGTCAATTATATTCACTGTTTGAACATTTTTCTTTTAATACATAGCCTTCCCTTTTCCAAAAGTCTCACGCTTTACCATTCCATTTTTCAAGTAATGTTACCATGTTTGATAGATTAAAATGTTTTCTAAAACTCTTAAAAAAGAACTTTGTTTATAAGGTGACAATTACAAACACAGTTCAAAAAAGTTAGTAAGTTACATAGAAGCTATTTGTATTTCAACTCTCACTTGAATACCTGTTGTGGGCCCTCATCTTAAGAGCGCTCATAGATATTTTTATCAACAGGGATCTTTAATAAACAGACATTCTTGTATACATAAGATTTTCTACCTGATTGATGTTGACTTTGAGTTACAAGGCAATTAATTTCTAGAAAATGGATACATGTGATTTTAATACACTAGTTGGCAAGTGAAATACTATATTTCATATAACAGGCCAGTATCCATTGAGCTGATGGTCAATGTATGTCGAAAATTGGTATCAGTATGCACACATTGTCATTACAAGTTAAGCAATCCTGTGAATCTGTTAAAAAATAAAACACGTTTATATCCGTTGGAAAAAAAATGCTGGCAGTAAGATGACAAACATTTGGGACACCTGTATAAACCTAAGAAAGGCTTAATAAAAATAGGGGAATGGGCCAAATTAATTTATTTTTTTACTCCACATAACTGTATAGACTGGTTGGACAGTTGAAATGTGGAGTATGAGATACCACAAAAAGAATCTCATCTAGGGATCTAAGTTTTTTAGTGTAACTATAAACAATCAACATGTCAAACTCATTATTTTGCTCATAACTTAAAAACTTGTCTATTTAGATATACATACAACTTTTTCAGAAAAAAAAGATACACAAAATGAGATATGCTAAATTAAAATCGGTTAATAAACAAAAAAGTTATTGCAAAATCAACAACAAAATGGCTGTTTTTGAATATTGTTAATATCTTTTTTATTATTTGTTAAAATTTGTTTAAATGTACCTAAATGTGATAGTCCTATCTCATGTTTGACTTATTTGCAAAAGATAGGCCGGATATTAAGATATTTTGAAAATGAGCTATTTTCTAAATCTGGTTCAGATAATTTGACTGAATGGAATTCCTAGGATCACATACACTCATCCCTCATTGATTTGATGAAACATGTTTAGCAAATATCAGCAATATCTACTTGATATTTTAAGGGCAATATAATCAGGAACATGTACCTAAATGTGATAGTCCTATCTCGTGTTTGACTTATTTGCAAAAGATAGGCCAGATATTAAGATATTTTGAAAATGAGCTATTTTCTAAGTCTGGTTCAGATAATTTGACTGAATGGAATTCCTAGGATCACGCCCACTCATCCCTCATTGATTTGATGAAACATGTTTAGCAAATATCAGCAATATCTACTTGATATTTTAAGGGCAATATAATCAGGAACATGTGAAGAATTTTTGGCTCTACGGGGTCCTGGGTACATCATATTCGAGGAGGTTGACAAAAGCAAATAGAACTCTCAGATTGTACATAAGTGAAGAAAACCTCTCATTTGAACTTAAAAAACTAGTTTTATTTATATTAAAATCATACATGCATATGTGGTTTAGTGTAAAAACAAGTCAATATTTTACAGATGACGACACTAAACTTTAATTAAAGTCATCAAACTTTGCCTTCGAAATAGGAATCAAACCTACAAGCAGAATACTTAGTTCCCAATACTACTACATTAATTTATTACTATTTCATACCTTTATAAAGATAGTCTGGTATAGGTAATGGATTTTATAAGAGCTATGACCTTGTAAATAACAGGTAAACTTGTGTCCTGTATCGGCATGACTCATAGCTCTTATTTAAATATATTACCTTTAGTTAAAACTTATTGTCTTTCAAGTTAGGGTGCTTTGATATAGGACGGCGGTTTGCAATTACTGTAGATTCAAGTTTTGTTCAGATGGTTTGACATTTCCTAAACATACTCGGTTCGCTATTCCCAGTCTGAACTGTCTAGTGAATATAACAACTAAAATATATTTTTTAAATATATATACTACCCAAAATTTGATGGGTTTAGAATACACTTCCACTATTTAGAATAATTCTTCTTTTTTCAAAGAAAAAGTCTGCAATATATATACTTGAGCTAATAATACTGAGAAGTAGGAATTATTGTGTTGTAGGTTTCCGACAATGAATCTGTCAAAATAGGCCTGAGCTAAGCGAATGGTGTATAGCAGCTGATCCGCCTCTATTACATTAAAAGGAGAAGGTTTCACTCTGACTTGACGAAAAATCTCCATCCGTTCATTTGGCTGTTCTACTTTAGCTGTTTAGTTAATTAGGCACATATTCATATCTGTTTCAAGATAGGAATGACCTCTTGTAGGAAAACATATTTTTATTTCATCAAATATTTTTTCGTTGTGCACCAGGTAGTGGAGAAATCTTAAAACAGTACAATTCTTGTTTTGTCCTCCACATGAATTATCTTCGTCCAGTTCTTCCAGATCATCGTCATTTTCAAGAAAATGTTCTGCCAACTTTCTCAACTCCTGGTTTGTCAAAGGTTTTCGAAAATCCCTTTTTTTGTCTATCGCCCTGGGATTAAAATAAAAGCATAAAATGCATGTTGTAGCATATTTGCTACATTTTATTAGAATACCCATTAATTTATTTTTATGAACTTTAAATACACACTTAAACATTTTTAAGTGTGTACTAAGACATTTAGAATTAAAATTATCTACTTGCTGCGCCATCTATTGCCAGCAAAGCAAAACCCGATTTAAAGTATACAATATGTTACATTATGCATTTGGTGTATCATAAAACATTTTATGAAAATGGAACTCTTCAATATTTTATATGCAGCAGATGTGCTGCATGATGCATTGTAAGGTTAATTAAAAATTAAATCTAAAAATGCAAATGGATTACAATAGTTGATTTTTGTTCAGAACAAACGTTTTCGGTCTTATTCTGAGACCATCTTCAGTGATATTTGCTTAGTACTTGCTTTAAAACCTTATAACCAAGCCGAGGGTGGGTTTAAATTTAATATTACGTACTTAAAAGTACTAAAATAAACGACATAATGTCGATGTTTGCAGATTTAACTGTTTGGAGCACTAGGTCTCTACTTAAAACAGCACTTGCATGCGTTTTTATCCTGTAAAAGCCAGCTAGCAACTAAATTATTAAGGTCAAAAACTTTTATATAATAAAACAAATAAAGGAATCTTACTCGTATACTTTTATACAAATACAGATTTTTGTCCAGGGTACTTACAAAATGCTATATGCAACATATATACCATGCTAAATAATTTTTTTATTTTTTAGATCTTGAATGGGTTATCTCAGAACCGGAATTCATCATGTACCAGAACGTTTTGAAAGACCTATGTGATTGTAGATAATTTTATTAATAATTTATCATAGGTTAATATACCAATAGACTTTTTGGCCTGACCACTTACTACCAAAAAATGTCATTTTCTTGCAGCCCTCTCTCATAGCATCTCAACTCTTAGAAAATCATTTTTTATAATTAACGATTAAAATCATTTTATCAAATTAATTAATGCAATTTCTTCAAACTGATATTTATGGATGTTTCTTCTGTGAAAGAATGTTCTAGGGATACGTTTCTATAGATATAGAACTGTTATATATGTAATATTTTGTACAATTCGGTTTTTCTGTTTTTTAATGGCAACAAAAATGTAAAAGCGTAAATAAACATCATAAAATAATTTTCTTTTTATTTATATTTGCCTATATATGTAGTTGATATACAGATTGAACGAGATAAATTCGGAACATACTCTAGGTAGTTGGCCAACAAAAGGTTGTCAAATAATTATATTATAAAAATCCAATACATCAGCGGGCTGCTGGATTCTGAACTCATTCAAGAACAAGTCAAAACTTCACCCAAATAGGTTGCCCCGGCCGTCACGTATAAAAATTGAAAGCTACACATAAATATAGGATTTTATTATGCTGTCAAACCACATATCGCTTCCTAAAGCCGTCCACTCACGGTACAGCGGTGTCGTTCGACATAATCGGACAGCGGCGTTGTTCAATTTGTTGGTATATATGGTGCGCCCACACACCATACTACGCCGCAGTATTTGTTTGGTTCTCGACCATGTCAAATCAAACAATCATTTTAGCGTCTCTTACTTACAAGATTTTGGTGCAAAATAAATCTCGTCTGCCCCTGCACCCGATTTACTGGACTGCACTGCTAATTTTAATTCTCTTTTATAGGATGTTCTAAAATTGTTAACTTTTTTTTTCTTACATACTCTTCATTCGCATCTTTGTTTACTTCTTGGAACTTTAAAACTAGAATGTCCATTGCCTGTTTTCGGGCGTTTTTATCGTGATATGTTTTACCTTTTATTCGATATAGCATTCTTGTTTTTATTTAATTTAAAAAATTCTCGCTAAATCAAGCCATTTCGATTTTCTATAATATGATCCAAGCAAGTGTATAGTTAAAAAACGAAGTTGAACAACGCCGCTGTATCGTGAGTGGCCGCCTTTAGGCAAGTCCCTCTTTCGTTTATCGGAGATGGAGATTTTGAGCGGTGTTGCCAATATTTTTCCACTAGATGTTTCTAAAATAACTACAAACTTCTGAAATAACTACAAACCATTAAGTTTATTTTTGTTATTAGTCTGTTGTAGTAGATTGGTAAATACAATGAAAAATATAGGCAAATATCCGATTTATTTAAAGATACGAAGAAGATATAACTCTCAAAAAGATCCGCAAATCGGATTATTACACGGTGATTGGCAACATTGACTTGGAGCTGCGCTCTAGACTATGGTGCGTTCTAAAAAGAGACTGATAGTTGAATAATATTTTATACAATGTCTAACACCGGGTATGGATTTATTTTTGTTCAAGTTTTATATTGGTCCACTATTTCAAATGCAGTTCAAACAGACATATCGATACATTTTTGGCAAAGTAACGTAAGTCACCAAACATGATTTGTAGAAAAAACAATTTTTTAATTCAACCTGGTTAAACTGATTTAAATTATGACTGAAAATACTTGTCCTAAAAAAGGTTTAAAATAATTCTAGGCTTACTACACTTTGGCAGTACCTTTTTAACAATAATAGTGTTGATTTAATTGAAAAACATGATTTTCGCCAAAAATGTCACTTACGTTACTTTGCCAAAAATGTATCGATATATTAAATTGTATGATCCATTTAAATTCGTTCAATCTGCATATTGATCCACAAGTGGAATTGAAATTTCCATCTCTACTGAATATTCCTGCACCAGAATATAACTTTTGTCGTTTTAGAACCATTTTGTATATGTACGACAATAAAGCAACACCACATATAACATTTCTAACCACAACAGCATCTCATTCAGTTACCATACCAAAACCATCAAACCGAGTTCGTCTTCAACAAAAGTTGCTTTATTATTATTGCTCTCCTGTTGAAGTTAAAGAAAATGAGTTATGTGATGTTGCTTGATTGACGACAAAATCCTATACAAAATGTCCAATCTTAAACCCCACAAACTTTGTGAGGGTGTCTTGCTACTATCAACACACTTACCACTATCTTGGTTATTTGTTCTATCTGTTGATTTCGATGTATATCATTTAAGCTGAAAGGACCTTATCTCTCTAAATTTCATAATTTTTGACTTTTGGGGCTTATGTTAAGCCCTACATTTGAAGTCCATTCTACAAATATGATCAGAGCCTATCACGTTCTATCTGTGCCATTAAATTTGCTGTGGGCTAAGATGGCCCGGTTATCCATACAGCCCAGGACATGATACCTGTCTTTACTGAGTCTATTTCATGACCAGATTCCACAAGAGATAAAACTCTCCTTTGCAGACAGTCTCTGATTACTTATGCTGACACTGTATCTGCCAGTAACATTAGAAATACCTATCTTTAAAAAGTATAATCAAGAAAAAAAGAAGCATAATCAAAGTTACATTTTTAATTATGAAGTAATAAAAGTAAACATTTTATTGACTAAACATACATTAATGAAATTAGCAGTATACAAGCAACTATCGAATAAAACAATTATTATTTAAAAACAAAAACATCAGACTTTCACTGCTTACAACTATGTGATACAAATAGGTATATAAAACAAACATTCTTACAATAAATATTATCAATAATCCTGAGATTGGCTCTTTGTTGACTTTCCTCCTGTAGCTACACTTGCACTTCCAGACTTCTTGGGTAGTAGAACAGCTTGTATATTTGGCAACACACCACCCTGGGATATTGTAACACCAGATAAAAGTTTATTCAACTCCTCGTCATTTCTTATGGCTAGCTGAAGATGCCTAGGTACAATTCTGGTTTTTTTGTTGTCTCTAGCTGCATTGCCTGCTAACTCTAATACTTCGGCTGCTAGATATTCCAATACAGCTCCAAGATACACTGGAGCTCCTGCCCCAACACGTTCAGCATAATTTCCTTTACGTAATAGTCTATGGATTCTTCCTACTGGAAATTGGAGCCCTGCACGACTTGAACGAGTCTTAGCTTTAACTTTGCTCTTTCCACCTTTTCCACGTCCTGACATTTTATTTAGTTCAAATATATATAATATATGAATAAGAGAATAAGTCGAACCTCGTAACTAACAAATAACGGCTTTTTGATTCAGATATACCGGTCAAATGGTTAAAAAAGGCGGGAGCTCATTGACATAAAATAATTTGACAATTGAATAGGCGGGAGTGAGAAATCTAACCAATAGCATCCAATAGTTTACATGAGACCAAGGTTAGTAAAAGAGAGGTTGCATGGTAACTATCATTTGACAGAATGAACCATGTAACCGTGACGTCACCCTGGGGGTCAATTTTACGAATTGTTTGAGAACAGAGAAGGATAAGTTGTTTGGAGAACATATAATTATATATTTTGTTCTTAAATATCGATAGTGTATTTTATTTATATATTTATTATAATTTTTAGTTATTTATATAAATAATTTAAACAAGTCAATTGTATTCAAATATAGTATATTTGCATGCTTTAGTTACATATAAACAAGAAAGAACCTACTTTTAATTTAATTTAGTAGTAATACTATTCTACTACATATATTTAGTTGCAATTATATTCTGTAACTCTGTAGGTATCTCTCAAATTTTTTTAAGATTGAATGAAATATATAGTCAATAAAATTCCAAACCTATTTTTTTTTTTAATATACGTAGAATAATATATCTTCAATCATTGCTGCTTTTCGGGTTCATTTCAAGATGTAAAGTGAATGATTTTGAATGTAGCATTCTCAGTGACGTCATTCCCGCCATATTCAGACTACATTATAAGGCGCTCCCTAACTTTCGCGTGATTGGTTTTTCGCTTTCCGAACTGTCTAGTGATTTTAGTAATTATGTTTTTACGAAGTTAGTTACTTTTTGACAGACTAGAAGTGGCTGGAAATTATTATACAACCAAGTACACGTGCTCATAGCGCATTTCATTAGAGTATTTCTTCGACCTCTTTTGCAAACTTATACTATGAATTAGAAATTTATAGCATGTATATAGAATGTAAGTTTCTATTATATATAAAAATATGTTTTACAAAAAAAGTTTTAGGATTTAGCTGGAGTTTCTTGAGAATATTTTTAATAAACGTTTATTATTTTCCAATTTTTTATTATTTTTTAAAAGTGATGATAATAATGCTGAATAAGCAATATTTCAAATGATATTTAATCACAAAACGTACTTAATATTGTGTTATTGTAAAATCCTTATAATAAAGTACGTTAGATAAAAAAAAGGTAAAATCCCGGGCCCTCCAAAACTAGTTTCTAATAGAAATAATAGAATATTATGATTTGTTTTAATTATATTTTTGATGATATTGGATATTTTTGAATTATAATATGAATATTATGATATTTTTTATCTAACCTAAGTTATAACACAATATTACGTACGTCCTGTGATTAGATATCATTTGAAATATTGCTTATTCAGCATTATAATCATCACTTTAAAAAATAATAATAAATTAACTGGAAAATATTAAATATATTCTCAAGAAACTCCAGCTAAATGCTAGTAAAAGTTTAAGTTGGTTGCCTAACATTTGGCGCAACCTAACGATATAAACTAAATTACCGTAACTTTTTTTATAAAACATATTTTTTATATATAATAGAAACTTACATTCTATATACATGCTATAAATTTCTAATTCATAGTATAAGTTTGCAAAAGATGTCGACGAAATACTCTAATGAAATGCGCTATGAGCACGTGTACTTGGTTGTATAATAATTTCCAGCCACTTCTAGTCTGTCAAAAAGTAACTAACTTCGTAAAAACATAATTACTAAAATCACTAAACAGTTCGGACTGGCATTAGCGAACCGAGTATACCAATACCACAATCATATTGCTAATACCACAATACCTCAATTTTATTGTCATTTTAATAAACATGAAACCCGCCAATTTTTAAATTGGGACCTACCCACCAACCAATCACGCGAAAGTTAGGGAGCGCATTATAATGTAGTCTATTGGAGACTCGACGCTGATTGGTGTAAAGTTACTAGACAACCTGTCTATTTACTAACCTTGATGTATTTGGCAGAATTGATCACAAACCATACATCTCTTGATGGATTATTTTTAAAGGTGTGTTCAGATATGATAGTAAATGTAAGCAATGAAGTTAGTGCTAAAACTATACAAATGAAAATTATTTTCATTCATAATATTTTTGTTAAAAATTAGTAAAAATTCAAAAGATATCAAATAACATTTTGTGTTATAAGTCGCATTGCTGTACTGAAAACATGGAGTTTGAAAATACAAGGTATATTGTGTATTGTGTATTTAAATATAGTGTTCTGTGGATAAAAGTTGCAGATCATTGTTGCCAACTTCACATTTCCTTGCTTGTTTCATTTGAAGGTCGAGCAAAAAGTGATATTTTGACGTTTTCCAACTGATAGAACTGATAACCGTAGTTTGTTTTGATAAGGTTTAAATTCCTTTGTTTAATTATTTTGAAATTTATCATATTCAATGCTATAGTGAAGATGGAAGACGCTGGTACAGATCAAGTAGGTAATGGTTTGCGGAATATAGAAGTCGAAGACTCTTTTCAAGATGCTGAGGATGGTCAATGCCTTGGGCACATGGGGAATGGCAAATCTGATGAAAGAGATGCCCTCGGAAGAGCTGGGTAAGATTATTCTAAAAATTATGTTTTCGTGTCCTTGTTTGAAGAATTTTATGAGTGGAAATAATTTCCTGGTTTTAATTATCTTTGCTTATGTGTTCATTTAGTTTTAAATCTATAACTAGTTATGTTAGTAATATCAAAATAATTCGATTGTACAATCCTACTAACAAATATTTCTATAATCAACGAAAATTCATGTAGTCTATTATTCACTAGAATCTTTATCACAAAAATGGTGGTTATCCAAAGTGCATTCATTTCAAATTAAATATTTAACACACATTTTGCGATGTTTTCAATACATTTACTTTGGTGTCATTTTATCTACAGAGGTTTGAAAATGTTTTCACTTTTCCGGCTTTACTGCTTTTCATTGGGAAAGTTCAAAATTCTGGCATAATCATTGTGTTAGCTTTTAGTTTTTGTGTGTTCAGATCATTTGATTGCGAAAATTTAGTCAGATGTAGTAATAGATAGAACAAATTTATTATAGGAACACACTGTTCTACCAAAGGTCTACTCAATTTGGTATAAGGTTACTTCCATTAAAAGAGATTTTATGTTAAAAACTCTTTATTATTATAGAATTTTCTCGTTCATCCTGTCATCCCCCAATATAAAATGGTCAGGCCAACATACTGTATGATTTCTTTATGGTAATCAATTAATACAGCAACCTAAGAACAACCAGATCAGAATAGATATCAAAGAGGAGTACACAAGAATAACAGAAGCTAAACATCAAGCTGGTAAGGAAGCAATTGGCATAGAAGAAAACAGTAGAAAAAGCAATCTATTATGGACAACTGAAGAAACAGAATAAATTACTACAGAAAAAGAACTAGAAATATAAAAGATGTTTAAACTTAATATAAATATTAGAGTAATATATATTAAATATAGAATTACAAAGAAGAGTAAAACAGAAGGTCAGAGAAGATAAACATATAATGTGGGAACAGCACTGCATTAATATAGAAAATAGAATAGGAGGTTTGAAGTCCACTGAACTATGGAGATCATTAAGAAAGATGAAAACCAACCACACAAACCATAGAATCAGCTTTATTCTGATTCAAGATTCGAAATCTCATTATGAAAATCTGTTGACAGAAAGTAGGAATATCTACAAGACATCATAGAATGTATTTAATTATGTTGACTGGGAAATATCTATAAAAAAAGTATGAATAGGTGTAATTGCTATGAAAAATGGTAGGGCTCTAGGACCAGGTGGAATAATGACAGAAGAAAATATGAAAATATGAATGTGACCAGTTAATAGAACATTTAACACCATGATTTAATAGATGTGTAAATGAATGTAAGATACAAATGGAAAATATGATATATTAAACTTCCATATATAGGACAGGAAACAGCAATGGCAATAAAAATGAGTAAAGACAAAAAAAATGGTATGTGATAATGTACCAAGCTCAAAATTTATTTATTTTTATTTATTTATTTATTTATATACGGCATCCATTTACTTACAATTTTTACAAAGTTACATCTTAAAAACAATATATTATTAAAATAACAATCACAAGTTTTAAAAAGTTACACCTTAACAACAATAAATTATTAAAATAACAAACACCTCAGAATAATACAAACATATAAGAATAATACAGATGTACAACCAACTTATTGTAAGATATTTTTTAGTTGTTTTTTGAACAAACTAATTTTGGAGTCAAAAATATCTATTTGTCTTGGCAAGCTATTAGCACTCCGGACCAATCGTGTAGTTGGTTCATTGGTACCATAATTAGTGTGGTGAAATGGCACCGAAAAGATTTCTGATTGTCTGTTGCTTCTACTAGGAACTTTAAGACTAACAAGCGATAAGAGTTGAGGACAATCTATAAAAGCATTGATAACTTTGTGTAAGAAACATAAATCCAACAATGTCCTCCTTGACTCAAGAGTTGGTAAGTTAAGACTATCTCTTACCCACTGATAGTCGTATTCCTCTCTCCTGTATCCACTCTTATAGGCTGCTACCCTCAAAAATTTATTCTGGACTCTTTCAATCTGTTGAATGTAACAGTGGTATGATGGGGACCATACAACTGATCCAAACTCAAGAATGGGCCTAACGAGACCACAATAAAGTCTTTTAAATGTAAATAAAGACAGATCCACAGATGTGCGTTGGATAAATCCCAGCACTTTCATCGCTCTGTTTGTTACTTGGTTAATGTGGCTTGAGAATGACAGTTTGGTGTCTAACCAAATTCCCAAATCTAATACTTCATTTTTCGAGGCTAATGGCAAGTTATTTATGTAGTAAACAAATGTAATTGGATTTCTTTGCCTCGAGAATGTCATTTTATGACATTTGTTTATATTGAGTGACATTTTGTTTAAAGTGCACCAATCATAAAACGATTTAAGATCTTCCTGTAATATAACAGCATCATTCCAGGATTGAATTTTTCTAAACAGTTTTACATCGTCAGCAAACATAAGAACACTACAATTTTTGATTTGTTGTACTAAATCAACCAGAAACAAGCAAAACAAAACAGGGCCACAATGGGAGCCTTGTGGCACGCCTGATGGAACTGTTATTTCAATTGAAGTGTCACTTCCCAAGTTAACTGTCTGCGTACGGCCACTAACAAATTCTGTAATCCACTGAAGAAGGGGATCTAAAATACCCAAAGTCTTAGTTTTTGTAAGAGGACCCCATGGTTTACCCGATCAAATGCTTTGGAAAAGTCAGTATAGATTGAGTCAACCTGGCACCCCTCTTCAAAGCTGTTATATATATGATTGACATACAAAACCAGGTTGGTATCTGTTGACCTCCCTCTCATAAAGCCAAATTGTTCAGGATTAAAAATGCCTCTATAACTCCATGTCAGTTTCTTACTAACCAAACAATCAAGCAACTTGGGCAGCTCCGACTGATTACAGACAGCTCGATAGTTTGATATATCGTTCCTTGCACCCGATTTAAAAATCGGCTTTAAAAAACTTTTCTTCCAGAGACTGGGAAAGCTACCAGTACCAAGTGATCTGTTAAAAATAAACAAAATTGGTTTTGTAAGTACACATATACATTTTTTCAGAAAATAGGCTGGGATTCCATCCGGCCCTGCACATAATCTGTTTTTACAACTTGCAATAGTATCATACACCTCAGTTGCTGTAAGTATTATAGAACTCAAACAAATAGAACTGTCCAAATTAAAAAAAGGTAAAGTATCTTTTTGTTCATCTGAGTAGACTGATGAGAAATATTCTGCGAACATATTGGCAGAGTCCTTCATATTTAAGCCAACCCTATCCTTATAGACCATTCTGGATGGTATATTATACCCATTTCTTTTGCTTTTAATATAAGACCAAAAATATTTTGGATTATCGGAAATGTTATTTTGTATCTCATCTAAATACTGTTTCTGACAGTCTGCTCTTAAAATTTCACACTGGTTTCTTAAATCCACAAAACGGTCATAATCATCTTGCCTACCACTAATTTTAAATTGTTTGTGTGCCTGTTTTTTTACATATAATTAGGTTACACAGCTCTGACGAGAACCAAGAGGGAAAGGTAGAGGTTTTATATTTCTTTAGTGGAACAAAGTGTTTTATCAGTGAGTAAATTATATCATAAAAAATGACCACCATACTATCAACTGTACCATTAAGAAACAGTACCTCCCAATTTATACTTGCTAAATAATTATTTATTGAAAAGTAGTCACCATTTTTGAAATCATAAAAGTATTCCTCGTAATTCATAACATCAAAATTTTCTTCACACACTAGTTCAAAACTGATAGCTGTATGATTTAAACTATTCTCAAAAATTTTATCTACTGCTGGAGTAACATTAATAGATTCCAAATTGCTAAAAACCAGGTCCAATGGGACTCCTTTGCTGTTCAAAATATCATTCTTTTGAAAGAAGTTATAGAAACTAAAGCAATTTGCTACAATACTTACAGAGTCATTTCCAGTGCCCGTCACTGTCAATCCCAACTCATCATTGCCCCATTTAGCTTGTGGTAGGTTGTAATTACCTGCCAAGACAAACAAACTATCTGGGATTATGGGAAACTTATGGGAACAAATTATGGGAAACTTATCACAAATTTGTTAGGCAGGCGATAATTAATATTGAAGGGATGCAGTCTTATCACCTCTAATATTTAATCTTCATTTAGAGTTTTATATCATTGGAGTTGCAGCAGTTGGAACTTTTTTCATGTACTTTCCTTCAATATTCTGCTCATTTTACCCAAGATATTGATTTGATACAATAAGACTAATCAAAAAACACTGTTTTTGCACCTTCAAAGTGTCAAAAAAAAATTATAACCAACAGTTTGGAGTTGCAAATACTTGGATGTTACTTGTCTAGGCAAATGCTGTGCTGTTTTCAAAAATTATCAGTTCCGGTTTTTTTTTCTCTACAGCTCTATTTTTTTACATTATTAAAGTGTATTAAACAATACACTTTCATAAAATATCATTGGAATTGGATCAGTGGCTTTGGAGAATTGTGTAAACGAACAATGTGACATGAGATTTTTATATATTATAAAGATTTTAGTTTTGGAATTTACTTGTGATTTTTTTTATATATAACTTTTAGTTATAAAAATATATTTTAGAAACTCTTCTGGAGAAAAATATGCAAGGATGCCAGTGCACAAGTATTCTTCCCATTACAACATGGAACATCCTAAAAGAGGCTTGGCTCTCATCTTCAACCATGAAATCTTCGAATGTGGAAATTTGAAGCCCAGAAACGGCACTAACGAAGACTGCAAAAACCTGAAAGAGTGCCTTATTGCTTTGGGCTTTGATGTGCATGTTTTCAAGGATTTAAATTATAGGGATATTGAACAACACATCCGTGAAAGTAAGTTTTTAATATATTTTTTCATATTAGTTGTTTTACAAAAAGATAAACAAGTTACAATTTTAAAAACGATATTTTTAACATCTCTATCATTTCAAGCAGAGTAAAGATTCATCTGTAAATGGATATTTAAAAACCGTTTGGTAGAAATTCCTTGTTTTCTTTGTTAAAGTATTATCTGAGTTGCATTAATGTTACGATTAAAGCTGTTTTTTAGTTTACAAGTTGATTTTGGCTATAATACAATAACACATACATAAGTACACCTGGGTTCAACCAACGAGAAACACAAAGTCAATTATAGATTATGTAATCACAAAACAAGAAACACATATACAAGTTGAAGAAATAAGAGTATTAAGAGGAACGGAGTGCGGAACTGACCACTATATGGTAAGATCAAAATGACAACCAACTAGCTCAATCAAAACGTCTGGAATCGAATCTACCTAAATACAATATTGATGCACTGCAAAATGACTCGACGTCATTCTTATATAAGCTGCGACTTAGCCAAAAATTGGCAAACCTGATCTACTCCTCAGTCCAGAATACCTATAAAGAGATAATCAATAAAATCAGTGACGCAGCTTACGAAGCGCTCAGCACAATCCAAAAGAACAAAAAGAATATTCCATTGTGGTGGACAAATGACATCACCAATGCAGTACACAACAAGAAACAAGCATATCAAAAGTGGCTGCAAACATGATCCAGATGATAGACAAACATATGCAAGATCAAACAGAGAAGTAAAAAATTTAGTAACTAAAGCAAAAAATATTTCCTGGGAAAGTAAATGCGAAGAACTCAACAAATATATAGGGTCAACAAGATCAAGAGAAGCATGGAAAACGGTAAAAAATCTGAGAACAAACAGAAAAGAAACAAGTAGAATAGATTTAATAGAAGAAAAATCTTGGATCTCACACTACTCACAATTTTGACTGAAACAAGACCTCAATTCACGAACTTCAGTACAACAACATATGAACTGGAATTCAGTGAAGACAATGAAATAACAGCACAGGAAGTCGAGAATGCAATACGAACTCTAAAAAATCGGAAGTCATGCGGACCACAAGGTATACCAAATGAATTATTAAAACATAGCCCACAAGTATTACGGGAATTACTGGCGTATGTCTTCACCTTAATCTATAATGGACACGACTTACCTCCGGAGTGGACAAAAGCACATATTAACAACATCTACGAAGAAGGAGATAGAAAGAATTGTTCAAACTACAAGGGGCTAGGTGTCATAAATTCACTCTCAAGACTATGGAAAAATAATAAAGAATAAAATTGAAAAAAGATGACAGATGTAGAAGAAGAGAATAACTTTCGTGCAGGCAGATCCTGTATGGACAGTATATTCTCTCTAAAGCAAGTTATCGAGAAAAGATTAGCCCACAACCTTTCAACTCATATAGTCTTTATAGATCTGACAAAGGCATACGATAGTGTACCACTTTCAATGCTTTGGGTAGCAATGGAAAAACAAGGAATAAGCAAAAAAATATACAAGCAGTAAAACAGCTCTATAAAAATATGACGGCAAACATTAAAACTGGAAATAGATTAACTAGAGAAATTCCTATTAGTAAGGACCTAAAGCAAGGCTGCTGCATAGCACCTACACTCTTTAAAATATATCTAAATGAGGCACAATAACTAGTGGAGAAAAAGTGCTGCAATATGGGCATCCTAAATCGGAGATGATAGATTGTACACGATACACTTCGCTGACGACCAAGCCATTCTAGCTGAAGACGAGAGTGATGTAGACTACATGCTTAGAAAACTAGAAGATGAGTACACCAAATGGGGCCTCACAATTAATATACAAAAAACTGAGTACTTAGTTCTAGGAGAAAAACCAGAAAGTCTACAAATCGAAATGAGAACTATAAAACCAACAGACAATTTTAAATACTTGGGAGTCCAAATAACATCAAAAGCAGGAAGTAGCGAAGAAATACATTCCAGGATTGGCCAAGCAAGATCAGGCACCAGACAGCTACACGGACTATTATGGAATAAAAAAATAACAAAAGAAAATAATAGAAGAATTTATAAGACAATAATAGAAAGTATTGGGCCGTACGGCGCCGAACTCTGGGAAATAAACCAAAGAAACCAAGGAAGAACGGAGATGTTGCCAGCTCACTAGACTTGATAGGGTAAGAAAAAAGATATTCAGAGAGAAATGGAAATCGATCTAGACATAATAGACACAATCTAAGCCAAAAGACTTAACTGGTATGGACACCTTCAGAGAATGCCGGAAAAGAGATGGCCAAAAAAATAGAAGAATGGACTCCGCCAACTAGAAGAAAACGAGGTAGACCAAGACGATCCTGGAGAGACGATGTCGCCGCCAGAGGTTTGGCCGTCAGAGAAATTTGGCCAATGAAACAAAGAACAGAGAAACTGTTACTAGCAATAGAAATGGACTTCTGGAGAAGAGCAGCAGGCAAATCAAGAAGAGATCCGATACCAAATGAGAGAATATGAGAAATGATGGGAGTCAAGCATACAATAGTTGATGACATAAAAACAAAACAGTTAATATGGTACGGCCATGTACAGAGAATGCCAGATGACAGGATTCCGAAACAGATTTTGAGGTGGACACCACAAGTGAGAAGGAAAAGAGGAAGGCCGAGAAGAAGCTGGAGAGAGGGAATTGAAAAAGAACTATAGTTAAATAGAGAAGAATGGCGGTTAGGAGTCGGAAGGTGTCGGAAAACGCTGTAAACCGATAGTAGTAGTAGTAAAAAGCCAATGTAGACCATTTTCAAGCCTACAAAGAAAGTCAAGGACTGTTTAAGATCGGTGAAGGACAAACGCGACCCATTAGCAACGGCCAGAATATACCGAATACCATGCAAATGAGGAATGTGGTAACCACAAAAAGACACACAAACACAAGGATAAATGAATATAAAAGCCATTGTCGTTTAGGACATAGCGACAAATCTGCCGTTGCCGAACACGCTTTGGGAAGCGGAGAACATCGGATACTCTTTGAAGAAACGCAGATGCTGGATAAAATATCACAGTACTACCCACGGTTATATCGGGAAAGCGGTGGAAATATATAAGCATCCAAATAATTTTAATCTGATAGAAGAATGACTAAAAATTAACAAAACATGGATACCAATATTAAAATCCACAAACACCCTTCTAGCAAAACAAGAAAAAAGAAAAGCGACAAACGACGACACGTCCCCTCACGCCGAAACCAGTGGAGGAGAGGCGAGTAAAAAATATAAATATGGCCTCCGTAGTACAACGGCCTAACAGCCCGAACAAACAGTTTAACATTCTTAATGTTTTTACTTTCTTTTAAGTTTTAATGAGTTTTCCCTGAAACGTACTTTTTTACATGTTTCCCCACACTAATCAAAAAATTATATTTATAAAAGTTCTGCAGATTTATATTTACAAACATTTTGGTACCAAATTTGCATGGTTGCGAACGAGATATAGGCCATGATCATGTTTTTGGGGGTTCGCTGCTCGTCTATATGAAATGGACACCACAAAAAGATTGTGCAATGATTTAAATGACTGCTGATCTAAATTAGATAAGTGAAACACCGAGCCGTGAAAGTCATAAGCTCAATTCTAGTTGCAAAAGAGAAATAGAGATAGAAATGAAATAATTTCCTTTATTTACAACAAATTCACTTAAATAACACCACACTTAATTTTTATTGACTGTAGGATCTCACGTATAATGTGTCACATACTACTGTCTGCATATTTAAGTGTATTATTCATTTCCATGTGACCTCTAAATAGCAATATTCATCATAACATCAGCGCTAACATATTAAAAAAATTTTTCTCGCATTAGTTCAATATTATTCATTAATCAATATGTCAAAATTTGTAATTGATGCATTCGACCGTAACTTGATGGAAATTCATTTTATGTAACAATAAAACAGTGAAAACTTTGTTTTCAAACTTCCACAAAATTTATTTTAATTTATCACTACAGCTGTTACATTTTACATGCATTTACATTTTATAGTCTCTAATGGAATAGGTTGAGGAGGGGAGAACTGTTTATCTCAAGTTGGTCATTCAGAATTATATTTGTGTTTTTTAATTTGTTGATTTCCATAGATTCTAACAAGGATAGCTTAAGGCCTTTATTTTGAATGTGAAGAATTTTAAATTCGTCATTAAAAGAATGATTGTGATCTTGTAGCAATTTTCAGTCCCCGACTTAATATAGAAAATAATTGTATACTGGAAATTGTTTAACTGGTTGCATACCTAGTAAATGGTATATTCGTAACCTTCTGTAAATGATAACGGAAAAGAAGACGACGTTGACTTGACAGAGGGAGGCTAGGAACGTATTTCCGGAAAGGAAGCAATTTTGACGGGGACGCTAGCTGGTGAAGTACAGAGGATGGTGGTGTGACAAAAAAAATATAGAAATTTCGATTTTATCTTGGCGATCAGTGCCGATTTTTGAAAAATAAATAAGTAATGTGCCTTACCGAATTATTTAAGTTATTCGTTATAAAGTTTATTTGTGTGATTACAAATAGTTCACGTGTTGTAAGTTTTTATGAATAAAATTGGAGATATTTCAATTATCCACAGTTAATTCACAACAAAAACATATACTGTTTTGCTGTTAATACATTTCGAGAGTCCATAGTGGTTCAATAACGAGAATAGCAGATGTATCAGGGTTATTTCTTTTGCCAAGCGACTTCTGATTGGGTGTTGTCTTGCTGGATAGTAGTTCGTGGGGATTATTAACGCTCCGGAACCAAGGTAACAGCTTTATTTATCACCTTTATACACCAGGCAGAGATCAAGTAATTGAGGAACTTTTCCAACATAGTTATATGTGAGCTCTGTAGTTTTAAAATAATTACTGTAAATTTTCGTAGTTAAGTATTATTAGTAAATAAATATTAAAGATCTGTTGAGCTCAGCATTCTTGTTTTAATATGACAGGCAATGCTCAATAAATAAATCTATGATTAATTTGTTATTGTTGAATAAATATTGTGTTTCCTCATAGGTGTCATTAGACACGCATTTACTACACTTGCCTTCGTATTAATATTTTATTTTCGTATACGACATAAAACTTACGTACTGACGATATTTTTCTTTCCGTTTTAACTTTTCTTGTTTTTTTATAATTTTAATAAAGAGTAGATGTACTAGGGTATTCCAGACTGATGCACCAGTAAATGCGATATTATACCGGTTATACTCAGTACCAAAGATTTTATGTCGGATTCTTTGTTTATATTATGACTATATATTTTATGTCTATGTCAATATGTTTTTTCTTTTTTTTTTATGACGGAACGAATTTATGTTTATGTTACGTTGTGAGGTTTCCTAGTGAATTCCAGTGCGCATTCAGTGTCGAACTTAGAACTAACATTTTCTTATATTTTTTGTTTGCGCTAACTGACATTTTATATATTTTTTTGTTTGCGCTAAATAAAATACTATTGTCAATATTCTCCATTTTCTTCAATCACCTGATTCACGACTGCCAATTTTCATACCGTATATATTTACATATTTAAATTCACATCGGTTTGGATATTAGTACCTTTTCGGCTCGTACCGACAAATTCCTACGCAGGTAGGTGGCGCCCAACAATTTTTTTTGCCGTTTTGTTTTGTAAATGTATGAAATCTTTCTAGCTACGACACAGCACACTGCCTCTGATATAGATCCACGACCCCTCCGAGTACTTTAATGAGCAACGGTGCATTATAACCCATATGTCGGAACCTCTAGGTTGTTGCCTCTTAATTGGCACCAAAGGTTGCTGCAATCTAGAAGGTGAAGTGCGTATGTAGAATCTGTTTTTCTATTATTGAAAACCCTTTTATGTTCTGCTATTCGTTTATTAAAGTTTCTACCAGTTTGACCGATGTAAGTTTTTGGGCAGTCGCCGCATTTAAGTTTGTACACACCACTGTGTAAGTGTTTTTTATTTTGGCTCTTGTTATTTTTAATATATTAGCCTAGGTTGTTATTTGTTCGAAAAGCTGGTGTTATTCCTTTCTTTTTTATGTGTTTGGCTATTTTAGTTGATATTTTGCCTGTATATGTAATCGAGCAGAAGGTACTGGGTTTTTTCTCTGGTGGTGGAAATACTAATTTAAGGGCTTTCTTGTGTAGTTTTTGATTTAACATTTTGTTAATTGTTTGTTCGTTGTATCCGTTGTTTACTGCTATGACATCGGAATTTCTGTTAATCTATGTAACATACTATGATAGGCTGCCAGTTTATGTTATGTTGGATGGGATGATGAATAGTGTATAGTCGTGTCAGTATGTATTGCTGATAGAGATGATAAGTTTGAATAATTTATTTAAGCTGAGATACATTGGTCGTCTACGTATAAAGTAAAGAACGTTTTTGGCATGAAAAAATAAAAATAAAAGGTATCAACAAAAAATTTTATTTACAAAGTCACAGTACCTTAGGCTATTTTTCAATGTAGTTGCCTTATTTGTCAAGGCATTTATTGAGAAATCAGTCTTTCGATGCCGGTGTTGTAGTCCACTACCCAAACTCCTTTTTACCCAAGAATTCATTCAGTTTCGGCAACAGATGATCGAAAGGCGCCGAAATCTGGGCTGAAGGGCTCGAAAATTTCTCATTGTAGACGGTGAAGTTCATGCTGAATTCTTGCCGCCGCAAGGGGCCGAGTATTTTCGTGAATCAGAAACACTTTCGTCAACAACATGCCAATTACATTTAAAGACTGATTAAAGAACTATTACGAGAATTAATAGTAATTACATTAACACCAACTATATTTTCCTTCGATTGTCCTGGCAAGATAAATTAACTCATAGGTGCAAATAATTATCAAAATTTAAATGGTTGCAATAAACAAACAAAAACAATTTCAAGGTTCAGGTAAAACTAGGTGAACTTACTGTACCGCTAAGTACCATGTTTTACACCACTTCACAAAACAAGGAACAAAACGACTTCAATATGAGTGCCTCGGTTCACGTTCACGGTCTGATTGCGTGCTTTTCTCTCAACGACCTACGCTCTTGTGTCTTTAGCGGAATGGATTCATCGAGCCCCAGAGCGGTACCATAAGGATCGGATGAATACAGGGGAGGAAAAATGTATTGATTAATTTATACAACCATATTTGAATTTTAACACAAAGATTCAAGTATATGTTATCCTTCTACCAACTAAAACCACCCTCTCGTACTTGTGTGCAGTTGATTGTCTCACGTTCCGCAGTCCGAAAGTGGGATGGCCGCTGTAAGGCTGACAACATTTTTGGAACACTCCCTTCTCTTATCTAAATCTTATCTCTGTCGTTGGTCCTGTTGGTGCTTCTCTTCTTGTTCTTTCTTTTTAATTAACGTTCGGATTATTTCCCGTCATCTTCACGATCATCTCTCTCACAGTCACAAGGTTCATACCTATTTCTCTATACGTACTGTATATCTATTACACTTCAGCGTTTTGTAACAGTGTCGGAATATTCGCAGTATAGGCATTTATCTGTATCTGTCTTTCTGAATCAGCATCTTGGTCCACTGGGCAACATCTTCCGTGTAGTTCCACTCTTCTTGCCATCTTTCATTGATCTTTCCCTTTCTTCTTTTTTCATGGCTGTTGTCAAATGCTCTCTTCTCTCATAGAGATGTCTCTTTTCTACATTTCCTACATTCCTTTCTAATGGATAGAACATAAAATTAAATAAGAATTAGGTGATTTCCCTAAGTTTTTCATCCGATACACAAAGGCACGTGTAACTTCTTTATTGTTATGGAATTATTCGGCTATTCGGATGATTGACTACATCCTAATAAAACACAGATATCGAAACTTAATTCAGGCAGTAAAGGCATATCCAGGAGTAGACGTATCCTCTGATCACAGTCTTCTTATTACTAGGTCTCAACTTCAACTAAAAAAGACTAAGTCAGAAGAAACAAAGGAAAATCTGAAACACGAAATCAACACAAATTTAGATAGAAACCCAATAAATAATTGCAACATAGAGCAGCAGTGGCAATTCTTCAAAACCTCTATATTGGAGCCAAGTAAGAAAGTACTTACAACAACCATATGTAAGAAAAAAGAGTGGATGACTGAGGAAATTCAAGAGTCAATGAATGAAAAGAGAAAAAACAAAACAACTATTTAGAACTACTGCCTCAAAAATTAAAATAGCTATGATGATTACCAACCTCCGTAGCGAGATGGCACCTGAAGAAGAAGAAGAAACTACTCGGCTGGCAATGTTGCCAAACTTATAATTTAAGCGTTCTTTCTGTAAATATAAAAGTACAAAATAATAATTATTAATGTGTATTTATACAATAATTATTGTATTCTACATATTTCAAGTGGTAATTTTTTGTATTGTGTGCCAAAGACAAGTTAACCCCCAAACACTCTCTGGGTGCGCCATCAAATGATTTATCTATTTTATATTAAATATTTTATCTTTATTCGGAGTAAAAATATGCGATACATATATTGTTTATGTTTCTACTTGTAATAAACTAATTATGTAGATAAATATGTAGATATAAAATATTACGTTTTTGACTCAATCTGGAGATATACTACACAGATATAAAATAAATTGAAATGATAGGGAATTGATATGAAATATAATTAAATTAAATAGATCCTAATCAAACATTTTCTACTAGATAAATAACGATTAACAAAGGGTACGTTGAATTACGTTATTAACCCTACAGGAAACTCGTGAAAAAAAATCTATTATAGCACACGTTAGGCCTGAGAGGCCTATGGGTAACAAGTTTTAATTAACAATTATGCAGCAATACAATTAGTAGTAGCAATACATAAAAATATTATAAAAAAGTCAGAGGTTTTCACTACAATTAGGACATACATACGTAATTAGCATATTGCAAACAAATGCAACAGGCGCATTTTTTACAATAATATCTACTTGTCTATTCTTGCAAAATGTACAATACTTTCTCTTAGTGGTTGAAGGCTCATGCAAATGCATGTTTTCAGCTCTTTCCATCAAATGGTTTTTCATCAACTGCAATGATAACTATTTTAAAAAAATGTCGTCTAACGAGAGTACTATTTTTGTTTAGCTGGAAGATATCAGCCAATTGGAGTTGGTAGTTGGCTGGTATCTTCCATAGGACTCTTTTTCGAGTCTTTTCGAACGTCTTTTTTTCGAGCGGGGATCAGTATGTCTTCTTAAAGTAAAATCATCTAACATCGAGTTCGTGTCACAACATTTTCAAAATTTAAAATTTTCAATATGTAATCTAAGGGTTATTAGTTCTTGCTATGTGGCGCTAGTTTTTACTTATAGTTTTAAGATGTTTTTACTTATGAGGGACTGATAAGATCGATAAACGTTTTGAAACTTGTAATCCTTTTGGATAATTTAAATTTTATAATAAATATATAGGTACCATTATACATTAGAAGTTTTTACTTCATTGTAAGTTTATGTACTTTTATCTTTAATATCTTTATTAATACAAATAATAATATTTCATGTTATTTTTTTTCAGCTGCCCAAACTGATCACAATAAACATGATTGTTTATTAATTTCTGTCCTTTCCCACGGTGAAATGGGAATAATATATGCAAAAGATACACCATATAAGCCTGACAATCTATGGGCATCTTTTACTGCAGATAGGTGCCCCAGTCTTGCAGGTAAGATTCATTTTTTTAATTGATAATTTTTTTTTTCTTTGAAATAAAAGAGTTCATCTGTGAAATATGCCCATTTTGATTCAGATTGTTGCGAAACCTAAAGTATGTGACTTTAAAATATAGCCATAAAATTATAAAAGTACATTGGATAAGCGTTCAGCTTTTATAAGCTTAATTTCGATTAATTGTTATTGCATAATTATCGCTTAAAGTTGAAAAACGAAGGAAACTCAGTTCTGTAAACATGTATAGTAAGCAATCAATAGTTCTATGAAAATTGTCGTATATTATTTTAATTTAATATAATAATATTTTATAGCAAATATATCTCACGGTAAACTAATCGTGAGTCAAGACAATGATTTTTTTCTGGTTTTCCATATAGTCTTAAGATTTTCTACGTCCGTACCCTATTTACATGGCCTTTTCAAAGTATCTATATATTTATTCCGTTCCATTCCAAGAAAGCTGTGTTGCTTGTAGTTTTTTCTAGTTCGTTCAAGTCGTTTCCAATATTTTTTATTTTCAGGTCGACACTTTGAATGTGGCGGTTAAAAGCTTATTGAAATTACACGCCGGTTATTGGATCTACTCAGATTTTCTTTTTTAGGTTTTTTTTATTCTTAATCCTTTCTTCCACTGCTCTGGTAAATCTTCTTCAGTCCATAGGTGGTTCAAAAGTTTATGTAACATTTCTATTGATATTGTTCTGAAGCTATTTTCTTGTGGAATTTTAAATTAATTACTATTTAATTGGGAATAAGCCACAATTACAGATAAAAATACGTTTATTGACGTTTCAATTTCCACTTCGGAAATCGTTCTCAAATACAAACAGTAAATTAAACAAATTTTGTTTTTTGTTACATAGTGAAAAATTCTTCTAATAATTTAATTTTATCTGACTCATTTATATTGACAATTCAGACATACATTATGCATTTTAAAGTAGACGACTTTAAAATGATATTGCCAATATTGTTGAGTTGCGCTCCTGGGACGACTTTACTTATAAGATAGTTCATTCGATTACATGAAATCAACTTTAACTTCAGAATATCCGTCAGAAAAAAATCATAGCATGTAATTCGTCTTTAAAAAGACAAACACATGACATGATGACACTAAAATTCTCCTGTTAGTGATTCCATAGTAAATTATGAGGGAAAAAACCAGGAAAAAAACCTCATAATACTATCCCGACATGGTAAGTATTTGTTCGTGCATTTAGTTTACCTTCAATAAACACCAAAATTCTGATTTTATATGTTTTGTTATTTAAAAAACATAAATGATGTATCCTGTATATGTTACTGACTTACTAATACTGGTATTTTGTTATTAATAACTTCCACTTTCAATATTGGTAACCAGATCCTACTACATTCTGCCGAGGAATTTGCGACACAATTGGCCTCATTTAGCATAATTAGAGCCGCTTCTTTGATTTTTCTTTTTTTTACCATCCGTTTCTTTTAGGTACTACATTTGAATTATTCCATTGAACCCTATGTTCATTATCTCATGCGTGTTTACATATTTGAGATCTAGAGAATTCTCTATTTTTAATATAAGATTTAATTTAATAAAAGTATTTTTATCTTTAATTGTGACTTATTCCCAGTTAAATAGTAATTAATTTCTATTGATTGCTCAGTGTCTTCTTTTATTAGGTTAATGTAGTAAAAAATTAATATCGTTGGTATATTTTTTAGGAAAACCAAAAATATTTTTCTTGCAAGCTTGCCAAGGTGATAAATTAGATGGTGGGGTAAGTTTGTCGAGAACTGAAACCGATGGAGAGATTCACAATACATATAAAATCCCAGTTCAAGCTGACTTCCTCATAGTGTATTCTACAGTAAAAGGTAAGTTGTTAAAAATATGTCTTAGTTTAATTTTGATATTAAGACTCCTCTTATCTAAAGCGGGAATTCTATAATTTCTTTGAAGACCTTTTTAATTCATTTTCCTTATTCAGGACATTTCTTAACATCGGTTAATTATTCCTGTTTCCATCAATTACTTATCTTTTGCAATTTTCACATCTCCTCTCTCAATATAATGTGATTGTCCATTATTTTCTCCTTTTAACTAACTCATTCAAATTTTGTTTGTTCTTCAACGTAACATAATTTTACAATTTTTTATTTTTTATAATTTTACTGTGTATTTTAGAATTTGTCTAGAAATAAGGTTCCCATCAATTTTACAAATAGCAACATTGTTTATTTTTATCGTTAGAAAGAAGAAACTTCTGAAAAAAAGCAAAACTTTGTTTTCCTTTTTTTTTAATATATATCGCCATCTTTTTGTACGCATTTTTAAAGAGGGTGCTTCAATTTCTGCATCCCAATATCGTGGAACTTTTCCGCCAACCTATTAAGGAAGCATTTCACTCCTTCTTTGATCATCGCTCATTATCGCTCCGGTAATATCGGTCACTCAAGTATTCCTTTAGCTTTGAGAACAAGTGAGTCACTAGGCGCAAGGTCCGGACTGTAAGGTGGATGAGACATGACAGTACATCCAAAGAGTGTTAAAATTTCCTGTGTTTGACAGAAGAACTGTATTAATTTTGATGGTATGCCAAATTCTTCCAATATATTAGGTAGAATTGTTCTATCTATTGAATCATAGGTTGTTTATAATCTACAAAGAGATTGTAAACGTCCATATCATATTCCCATGCTTTGAATAGTATTTGTTTAACTGTAAATAGTTAGTCAATGGTAGATCTATTTTGCCTAAACCCTGCTTGATATTCCCGATGATTTTTTCCGTGAGAGGTTGAAGTCTTTGATTAATGATGTTTATGAGTATTTAGCATCCCGAACAAAGTAAAGAGATGCCTCTATAATTCTGACACAACAGTTTGTCTCCTTTTTTATGAATAGGACAGATTATACTTTTCTTCCATTGTTGGGGGATTTCTTCTTCTGTCCATATCTCTCGTATTAGCTGGTACATCTGTTGTGTCAAATTCCTTCCTCCTTGCTCGAGTAGTTATGCAGGTATCTTACCTATTCCCGGTGCTTTTATATGGATTGCCGTTTGGACCTCCTCTAGCGGTTTTTCTACTGTCTCATTATTAAGTTGTCACTCATTTTTACATATCTTGACGATCCTTTATAGGTTATTAACATTAAGTTGTCACTCATTTTTACATATCTTGACGATCCTTTATAGGTTATTAACATTAATAGGTTAAAAAAGGTTGTATAAAACAAAATTAATTACTTTTTCGATTTGTTTAAAAAAATAATAAATTAACAGTCAAACATCTGAGTTTGTTATACATTTTAATTTGTCCCATTATATAGTTGTCATTGCTCATAGAAAACTGAAACGTCATAAGCCTTAGTTAGGTTATATAAAAATAAATTAATCGGATAATTAAGTTTTATGGCTCAGAAAAATATTATGGGAGAGGGTAGTTCAAACTCACACTATATTTATAACTCTGTACATTCATTTAACATTCATCTAAATCATTTTCATTAAGGTTATTACTCATGGCGTAATACCACTAAAGGCTCCTGGTTCATCCAATCGCTTTGTGACGAACTGAAGAAGAGGGCTCTTGAGCTGGACCTCGTGACCATCCTGACGTTCGTCTCTCAACGTGTTGCCTTAGACTTCGAAAGCAACGTTCCAGACAACATCACCATGCACCGCCAAAAGCAAATACCCTGTGTGGTGAGCATGCTCACTAGATTGATCCAGTTTAACCATAAGATGGTTTAGGAACATTATTGCCGGCTTGTGGATAAGTTTTTTTCGGATATATATATTAAGTATCTATAACTCAATAAAAAATGTCGGCTTGATTCATATTTTAAGCATATCTCTCAAATTTTTACGTTTGTAGTTTAATGAATTGAGTTATTTCTTATTACTTGCTATAGATGACCGTTCGACATCAACAAGAATAATTTCCATGATAAAAACTAGTGTCAACAAAGTCTGTGTAAAATGTAGGCAAATTTCAGACATGTGCTAAAAGATTTTTCCTGGAATTTACTAAAAATGACAAAAAGTAAAGTTATTTTCTCATTTTGTAGTACAGGCTGTTTGTGCATATAAATACATCAGTTTAATCAATCTATTAATTCTAGGACTATTTTTATTTTAAGAAGAAAGCTACAAAAACAAGTTGAATCCGTTACAGTGAAAACATAGCCATGACATATATTTATATTTTTATCTTATCTACTTAAAATATACTTATTTAATTATATAATTTAATCATATTTAGCGTTTCCGAAAAAAATTTTTCACAACCAAAAGTTATTTTTGGAGTGAGGCTGTTTTGTCCACTTGGATAATGTAAACACTTTTTGGAAGTGTACAATGTAAAAGAATTGATGCTATCATCCATTTTTTATTCATAAAAGTATTAAATAACCAAAATTTCTGATTTTATAGTTTTTAAACCCATAAATAAGGTGCATATAATATGATAACGATGATCCTATAACACCATAGTAAATAAATATCATAAGAATGTGAGCCACGCCCCTTTCATGGTGACAGTCCTGACGTCATCTGTCATAAGAACCAAAATTAACATATTTTTGGACTTGTTGGCAGATGTACATATAACAAAAGTGCCGTATTCATCGAAGGGTATTAAGCAAGGCGATTCTAGTGCATCAAAAGTCTTTAATTAGTTTTATAAAGAAAAAAATTGTTTGAATTGTAGCATCGATTCTTTTTCATAAAAAATGTGATGAATATATTTATACACGGTATTAAAATGTACTTATTACATTGTAAAATCATATACATATCTTCTATTTTATTTCTGATCTCCTTTTGTAGTTTGTCATACTGTAGATTATTTCTTTATTGAAATAGCTTCATTCCCAACACCATTTATTTACCATTATTGTTTACTACTTAGGTCTAAGTATCTTATAATTATGAAATTTATTGTAGTTTAATTTGGTACCATTGAAGAATATTTTAAACTGATGTTTTTTTACTGAAGAACGTTTTCTATAAAATATATGAAACCAATAAGGTCCATCAATTATTTTAAATGCAGTTAATATCTCAGGCAAGCGTTTTGGAAAGCTTAAACTTTTTGAGGTTATGAAAATTTAATTATACGATCTATTTCATGAATATACGACAGTTTTTATATGAAAACAGTGTACGAAAACAGTTGTATATTCATGGAATAGATTTTAAATAAAATAATCTAGAATGCAGGATCTTTTACAAAATATTGTTCGTTTTAATCCGTTTTTTAAATAAGTTTAAATGGTACCAAATATAGAATTAAACGTATTTTATGAAACTTTTTCTTGCCTGTTGGCTTTTAGAACTGATACTATGTAGATAATGAAAATACTATTGTAAAACATATACATTAAAACTATTTTTCGCTTTATACAATAAATAAAAATTAAAAAAGGCAATATTAACATACTTATACTAACAATTATCAATATATGAAAGACACAATTTAAAAACTATATTAGACTGATAATTTTCAACAAAAGACTAAAAAAATGGTAGGTTTGTTTCTGCAGATATTTGCTGGCAGTTCGGAAATTCTGAACTTCGTACATTAAATATACAATGGTATGAATTTGCCTTGATAAGTCAGTGGCAAAAGTGTTAACTTACTGATGCAAAACCTCACGAAGAGATACCGAAGCCAAGTTTATGTACACCGATAAGACTGTTTGTACTGATGTAAATTTTAAAAATAGCTATATGAAGTTCCAAATAAAATAGAAAATATGTTTGGCTCTAATAAAACAAAACACTGCCAGCAAGTGCCTAACTGTTGTAATGTCTAAGTAAGTATTTTTAGAAAGTGCCTATTACTATTTTAATAATTATTAAAATGAAAAAATATGAACTTCAAGGAATAGAAAACAAAAGGGAAGAAACTTTTGATTGTACTTTAAACCTTTGAATATCTACCTTATCCTTTCCCTTTTACCAATTTTTAGCTACTACAGTAAATGTCAATTACGTATTTTCACTTTGAAAAACTCATATGTATTTCCTCACACTCTTATTTTGGACCCATGTTCTTTCTGGATTATCAAAATCAACTTCAAATACATAAATTGTGATTTGTGCAATGTAAATTGTTCTTTTAACCGTATATTTCTGTCTAGTCTAGTTTTGTTTAATGCATAATATAATGTTGCCGACTGAGGAAACAATTCAAGAGAATAAAAGTTAATGGAGAAAAATTGGCTCTCCAGATTAAAAGCTCGGCGCGTGTTTTGTATTTATCGTTTTGATTTGTAAAATAAAACAAGTCACTAATTCTTTAATATTAAAACCTAATAAAGATAGAAACTTAGCTTCTTCAGATCGTCCTACATCCTTACTATCTACTAACTAAAACGTTTGAAAGAATGATAAAAACAAGGCTAGAGGGTATCTCGAGGGTATCTTGCTTGTATATTTCTTGATATAAAAGACTCTGTTAGCCTAAATATACTTAAACAAAAAATGGTTTATATGATATTGGTTTGAGTGAAATGACTGCTCTAAATATATTACAGTTGTATTTCTCACGATATACATACATCAAAGACCATAGAAATGTATTTCACGGTCCAAGAATTGTTTATCATGGATTGCCTCAGGGATCGATACTTAGTCCTACATTATTTAATATAGGTATATTGTGTCAATATTTATTCACTTTTCTCTCTTAATTCCATTAAATGTATCCAATATGCAGACGACATCTATATATACTCCATTCAAGATACTTATGATGCTTGCATTGGAGCTCTGGAGAACGTTATGAATACAGTGATTGCATGGACAGACGAAATAGGTATGACCCTCTCTACTGTAAAGTGTTCTATTATGTTTTTTTACCAGGCATAGACTACGTGCACCGGAGAACCTTATCTTGTGTGGGCGTACCCTGTCGGTAGTTAAGGAATATAAATATTTGGGTATCATACTTGACACAAAATTACTATGGTCCAGTCACATACATTACCTAATAAGCAAATGCGAGAAAGGTTTTAATTTACTTAAGTGCATAACAAATCGAAGTTGGGGCGCAACCCCTAGTATACATAGCTTTAATGTTCTATAGAGCCTTTGTGCGATGCATCAGTAGCTACGAATATTGTTTATACGGATCTTCAAGTAATACCAACCTTAAAAAATAGATAGCGTTCAATATAAATGTCTTAGAACTTGCATAGGTGGGATGATATCCTCGTTAGTGAATGCAATACTGGCAGAATGTAAAGAATTTCCTTTGAATTTGCGCCGTCATTTATTATCGCAAAAATATTTGTTAAAACTAAGAGCCCGGGAGCCAAACATGATCAATTTATTAAGTTATATTGTAAAAGAAGACTTAACAAAGCAGTATTGGAAACTAAAACATTCTTCCCGCTCGCAGAAGCATTTACTAAGACCAATGGAGTCCAAAATTTGTTTGGTAGTACACTGCTCCGTGCGTGACTGACACGACACCTACCGCCTTTTTCTGACAATTTTGGGAGTCCCAATTTTCAGGTTAAACATATGACATATGTTTGACATTGTTAAATACATGCGAAATTGACAATTATTAATAAATTAGTTTTTTAACTATATTTTTTCAGTTTATGTACAAAATAAATGTAGTATTAAAAACTGGGTTTCTCAAAATTCATCACAATATATCTTTTCAACTCCAAACGTAAGAGAAAGGGAAAAATCTAGTACTGACAAATCAAGTTTTTCACGCAAAAGATGCATATAATTAAAAACAATAATAGTAAAAGTTATGATATAAAAGCTTAAGTCATCTGCAGTTAGCTTGAAGCCTTATGAAATATCATTCAAGGTAAATTATTTAAATTTTTCTATTTCAATTGCGTAAAAATGAAATTATGTGATATTTACTTTTTCATATTAATAGCAGGAATTTATCTTTTTCTCTAATTTATATGTAATCTTTGGGAACCTATAAAAACTACACTCACTGTTTTTGCTATTATTAGCACAATTAAATACGCAACATGTATTTGCACACATTTTTGATAAAATTTATGAGTAAAAATATTTTGTCCAATATTCCAATTTTGTCATATTTCGCCGCTATGCACGCTGGCGTCGTTTCAATGTACCCCTACCATGGTCACGCACGGAGCGAATATACACCATACATTTTAAATCTTTAATAAAAATACACAGAGTTATAATTCCCAAGCATACTGAATCTCATCAAATATATTACATCCTCCTAAAATTCATAATAGGTAATTTCTATAGCAAAACTCTTATATTTACAGATGAATCTAAGACGAAGGAAGGTGTTGGTTGTGGTGTATTTATCCAAGATACAAACCAATCATTGATATATAAATTACTACCTGTTTGTAGCATTTATACCGCCGAGCTTTTTGCAATTAGAAAAGGTGTTACCTGGTTAACATCCAATAACATACTCGAAGAAGTAATATTAACAGATTCTAAATCTACATTAGTCTCTATAAAAATACAAAATTTGAAGGAATGAAGTGTCCTATGTTATGTTTAAAAAACATGATTGCAAATTTAAATATAACATTTATTTGGGTTAGAGGCCATGTAGGTATACCAGGGAATGAAAAAGCTGATACTCTAGCTAAGGAGCAGTATAGGACTATTTTGCAATATTTATACAGTAAGGGATATATTTAACTCAATAAAAAATAAAATAAGGCTGAAATGGGAACAGCAATGGTAGAGTATTGTTGAAAACTCGTAAAATACATATTTCCAGATACATCCCACTTTACCACTCCCAGCCCCATACATATTCAATTACTCGACTACCAAATTCTTCTCGGCAAGTGTATTTCGCCTAAAAACGAATCATGGTCGATTCCCGTCGCATTTATTTAAGCTTGGAATATTACTGGCACCATCCTGCAGTTGTGATATAAGTTCTTACGGAGATCTTAACCATATTTTCTTTTAATGCAACACGTTAAAAAAAATTAATAAATTAATTCAAACTCTTATTGAAATGAAATATTTGCTTCCGTTGAGTCTATCACATATTTTGGCAACTGCTAATAGAGAAACCTTAGAATTGCTAATAAGTTTTATTAAAGATATAAAGAGAATTATAAATTAGTATGACTTTAGTGATTTATACATATATCTAAAAAAAAGTAACAAACAAGAACCAAAAAAATATCTTATAAATAAAACATTATGTGGCTGATGGACTTGTTTCCGTGCCATATCTTTCACACGCACACAACGTGAAGACTCCTGGGAATAACCCAACTTCCAGTGAATTGGATTATTATCAGTGAAACCTGAAAACAAATAATTTCACTTAATTTAAAAAAAGGATAAACTTCTGCTTTAAAAAGAAAATGTAATTATTTACTTGAAACAAATTAATATAAGAGTCAAAACCCTAACTTTGAGGGTTTTCGCCCATATTTTTATTAATTATAGTACTGAATACATTGATGATGGTTAGATAATAATGGAACGAACGTTATGTTTGTTCGACTTCGAGAAGGCACCCGACAGAGTACATATGATCAAGTTTCCTCTATCCAAATTGGAGACAGTCACACTGAAAAACTACACATGGGGACGACGATGACAGGCGAGTGGGAGTAAGACTAGGCGGAGAAGTAATCAACAATATCAGATACGCTGTCGATACTGTCGCACTTGCAGAAAATTTGCAAGATCTCTAGACAGTAAATCTAGTTAGTCAGTGAAGCAAGTTATCGGAGATGCCCTAAAATTAACATTTCAAAGACAAAGTGGATGACAGTTGGAAAGATTAATATAGATAGGTCAAGGTTTGCTTTCTCTCAATGCAATCGAGATAGAACGTGTAATCCATTTTAACCCTTTCACTTCTGATTTGTTTATTTTTAAATTTGATATATTTGTCTGTAGTTTGTTGTTCTAGAGCATTTAAAAGAACTAAGAATGTATTTAAAAAATCTTATTTTTTATTTTTTCTGGTAAAGAAACCCATAAAGATTTTCTTAAAATGTCCAAATCTCCAAATGATGTTCTTCAGGAGGAGAGAAACAGATAAGTTTAAAATTGGGTAAGGCACATTAAGAAAATTAAAATGACAGTCTTATCGGTAATATCACATACATATAATTTGTTACTAATTATATACTTAAGGTAACGACATTTTTTTACAAAATGTTTTTCATATGGTTGTATTTTTAGAAAAATATTGTGCCATCGTCTTTCAACTATATTATCTAGTATTTTGAGGGTTGTATTTTATTCAAATTTTGACGAGGTGTTAACTAATTGGATTTGTGGTATTTTATTGGAAATGCATTTAAACAATTAATTTTTTAAATAATTTGCTCATTTTTTAGTAAAAAATAAATGTATACATAAACGATTTGATGTTTTATTTATAATAAGTCGTGTGCAACAATCAAATTCCTTAATTAAAAAAAAAACGTAAATTGAGCTTGAGCAAATCAAGAAAAGGTTAAAACTTTGACATTTGCACATCTCATATCAACTTATACTAATGCATGAAAATCTTGAATTAAACCAAGTGAAAGAAGGAATCTACAGGAAACTGAACTAAAGATGTCTCCTAAAACCGACCTCATCACCACCACAATATTCAAAGAATTATATTACGAGACTTCACTTCTAAGTAAGTACGAACTAATAAGTTTAAGTTGCTGAATCTGATACCTAAATATATATAAAAATACTTCAGTTACTTGTACATAAACATACTGTAATTTGTTATTCTTTAAGAAACTCTTCCACTGAATAATATTGTCTTTCAGATAGATAAGTTTTTGTCCTTTTACGGAACTTAAGGAAAGAAGTTGCAAGGGAGATGCGTGTATAATTTTTTGCCGAATATAATATAGATTTGTTTACTAGACATTGTTTTGTGTAGAACTTAGAAGTCGCTGGTTAAATTAATTTAGAAATAATAATAGAGAAAAAATGCAATATTTTGACTGTAAATAAATTACGAGAATTGGCTGGCTTTAACTCATATTGATCTGTACAAAGAATATAAACCTACCTTTTGAAATATTGGTGCATACGTAGCCCGTGGAGTAGCGTTGTTACCATGTCGGGACGCCGAGGTTCGATAGGTCGTAACCCATACACTCGATATTTTCAGTACGCTTTCTCAGTAGTGCTCCCCTATAAATCAACACTATTGTAGGGCGCTTCGGAATAGCGACAATCCAATTCAATGGTCACAGTAATATGATACTTTACACATTTTTTGTGTGTATTGGCAACACAAAAATAACAAAAGAGAAAGTCAAATTCTCTGAACTTAAAACAGAATAATTGAACTAACCAGTTTAACAATGCGATTTTATTGAATAACAGGAAATAATATATTTTAAAGCAAAGTCGTTAGAGTATGCCAGGGTTTGTGATGTTTTGACTTAATTGTAGTTAAAGGAAATGCCTTATTGAAAACAGAGACAAAGCCTCTCTAAAAACTAACTGAAACTATAGTTAATATACAGAGGGAAAGTGACACCCAGAAGTCAAGCACAAATTTTCGAATTTATGAAAGTTCTGAGCGGAAAAAATCCTACCTAAACGTTTGGTTTTCGAGGATTGTTTGTTAAGGGTGTTGAACTTGGTATATAATGCCTTCATGATCAGCTAGTCCTGCATTAATAATTGTAGAGCTTACATCAAGGGATGAGAAATCTGATATAATCAATTATGGTAGATGTCCTTTTAGTAATTCTTGTAGAAGAATTAACGTGCACTACTGGAGAGGGCCTAATTAGTTCAAAGCTCTCTCCTGGCACGGTCAGGGACAGGCATGGGAGGAAATGTAATAACAATTATTTTAAAAAATTCTATTTAGAATTATCTACTGGTAGCCAAAATACAGGAAACGTGGAAAAAATGTCATATTTTTGTAGAAAAAATGTAATAAGATGAACATAGAGAGCCATAAACCCATTGATCTGTTGTCCTACTTGTACAAATTATTAAAACGAATAATAACTGATCTTCATCGACCAAACTGATTAAAAAAAAAGCTTTGACACAGTGGACATTTGCAAAATTTAGAAAGGTCATCAAATAATTCACGAAATATAACCCCATTACACATGGCTTTTATAGATTTTATATAACAAACCTTTTAAAGTGGTCGAATTCTGGACATTTCTGTCAACCATGGAAGACGTCACAATAAATGCAAAATATTGCACTCTCATTGATGATATTTACAGAAATGTTATATTTCACATAAAAATTGATAATGACTATAAAACTGATGGTTTTTTTCAAGAAGGGGTGTTGATTGAGAATCAAGTTGATCCTACCATACAAAAATATTAACTACAGAAAACAAAATTTCAAAATAACTAAAATGGCAAAGAAAAGATCCTTAATATAACATAATCTTTATCTGAATTTCCAACCTGAAGAGTTGGAATCCAGACACGAATTAAAACAGATAGGAGCGCAAATGAATTTAAATACAATGAAAATTTTAAGTAATAGTCTGAATAACATCTTAGTACAAAAATTTAAGTAACTCAAGAGATCAATGGAACGTTCATTGTTAGGAATATCCTTTAGGGGACATTCAATCAGGAAATGTAACCAGATTATGATCAGATAGGCAGCCAGATTATGATCAGATAGGTAATCATAGCGATAACATGGAGACAAAGAGACGTTTCAGAAGGTTACCTCTAGGATGGGTGAGTGATTACTTTCAATTTTATGAATTAATTTAGGGAAATATTGAAATTCGTGCATGACTGTAACTAGCAATTGTAAGTTGCCTACATTTGGCGGTCCTATTTGGTCACAGAACTATCAAATATCTGACAGCTGGCAAACTGTTCGTCAACTGATGTGATGAATGTGGATGCCGGCGCCATATTTCTATTAAAGAATATTTTGTATGACGGATTGTTCGGTTCGGCGCCAGGACTGTGACGAGACGTGACTGATGTGTCTGAATCGACCTTTAATATGTGTTCCGTTTATAAACTTCAATATAGGTAACTAGATTGAAGTTAGCAAATTGGTTATTTTCAGAGATATGTAACATATCTCTGGTTATTTCATTCCCACGACGTTCATAATATACGTCATTAGTCAGTTTTAGTTTTTTTTATTTATGTTGTTGTTCTGTGTTCTCGGTAATTTTCTTCTGTTTCTATTTTAGAAAACTGAGCCATAGGGATCTACGTCCTACGTCTACGTTAGGGACACATATACCCATAGAGAAATAAAAATTACAGACACAGGTCACTGTCACTAGTGTCACTAGTTTTTCTCGCTTTATAATCTTTGCGGGAAACCCTTAACACAGTTAACCTTTATTTTTCTAGGTTATAGTATAGGTTATTCTCATTTGAACTAAATCTAATTATAAAACTGATAACATTAGTTTATAAGTATATCTCGTTAACTATAAGTATTTGAATTACAATTCCATAGTGAACATGGAATACACCCATAAAGTTTTTAATGACTTCCACAATTTAGAAGTCGAAGACACTTTTGAAGATGCTGTGGATGGTCAATGCCTTGGACTGCCGCGGAATGGCAAATCTGATGAAGGAGATGCCCAAGGAACAGATGGGTAAGATTTTTCTAAAAATTAAAATAGAAATTTAGAAATTATTTGAATGTTGTAGTTGTAGCTTTATTTTGTGTCCTTGGCTAAGAATTTAATGCAAGTAAATTGTTTCCTTATTTTAAAAATTCTTGCTTATGAGTTTATTTCATTTCATTGAACTAACATAAACACAAGGACAATTTCACAGTATTTAGTATGTAGTGAGCTATGTATTAGTTGATTGATTTAGGTATATTTCTCAGTTGGGAGAAAGACTTCCAAATTAGTAATATTGATAAGTACATTATACAATTACTTTACTACTTAATATGTAATACACATATTAAATATTTTGGTAAGTGTATTTAATATTTAAGTTATTTATTAGTCTCCTTATATAATATAATCAGTATATAATTTTGCTATGACCTCTTCACGACCTAGATCTTGTCATATGATAATATAATATCTGTTATTACGTTATTAGTATTCATATTTTCTTATATCATCCTTTTAGGTACTTTTATTCACAACATGAGGTATTGCTCTGCCTCTTTTAGACCTTGCTACACTTGTTTAACCTTTATTTTTAGATCTCCCCATTCTTTGTTTATTCACTTTATCAAACATTTCTTGTGTTGCTCAAATTGAATGATTGGTTATCTTTATTGATGTCCTCAATTATATTATTATTTCCTTGGTAATTCTTTTATTTTGCTATGTTGCATTTCTTTTCTTTTGTTCTTGGTAAAAAAAGTAATGCAAATATTTAATTTTTGATAAATTTAGAACCAAGTTTTCATAATTTTTTATTCGGGGGATAATTCTATTTATTTGCATTATAATTCTATCAAAAATGAACCAGTTTATATCAATCATCCGGAATAACTGTATGCATAGACATATAAGATAGACTGATCATTGCATTACCAGCCCGTTCCTAGTGCGATAGAGAAAACTGACAAAGCAGTCTTGCATATTATCTTTATAATTTGCCAGGTTTATCGACTATGTGACCTAAATGAACAATGAGAAGATCATGTGGTCAATAAACCTGGCCCATTAGACAGAGATGCAGGGACTGCTTTGTGTCAATTTTCACAGTTACACTGGGGGAATGTAACTGTATATATGCAAATCTTAATTTGAATACTAAAACCACAGTTTAAAGGATTTTTAATAGTTTTAAATAGTGTTTTAACTAAAAATCAACTAAACATGGCCAGATAATAAAAGCCTTATGCATTATGCAATTATTTGTAGTACTTCTTTGTGTATCAAATAGTAAAACTGCATTAGAGCATGGTATTATTGTATGTATTATTTATTTGGGAGCTCACAAAAATACCATCTATATTTTGATATCTTTAAATGAAAATTTTTCAAAGATATCAAATGACAATTCTTAGATATTGTTTTTAATCTGTTGACATAACTATTCTGATGCATGACATACAAATAAGAATTAGATATAGCCCATGCAAAACGTAGTCAGAATTTGTTTAAACAGTTTTTTAAACAAGTAGAAAAATCAACTTTTTTGAACTTTTTTTTTATTTTCTAACTTAAACCCAAAATGTTTCAAGTAATTTTCCTCCTAAAAGCGCTGATCGTCAGGCGAAGTAAATCTGTGGTTTTTTGTTTAGTCAGTAGGTATGTTTTCTAGAATCCTACAATTCTTCAGACATTCTCATATAATTTTTGTAATCAACTAACAAATTGTTGATTCTCATTTTTATGTGATTGTTATGCTCACTGATATTCAGTCATACATTGATTAGCCGCTCCAGCTTAATCTTCTTTTGAGTTAAAATTTCATAATGTAAAAAAAAACAAAAATGATCATTTTAAGGCTCAAAAATTATTATTTTGAGGTTAAGAAGTCCTAAATTCAACCAAATTCAATTTCAAGTATTCCTCTACAAGGTTAAGACAAGTAATTTGTAGTGTATTGGATTAAGCAAGTAGTTGCTTTATCAATAGTGCATTTGCAGTATATTAGATTGCATGGTATTTTTTACTTGCTCTCACTATTTTATTTTACTATTATTATACAGTGTATTCACAAAATGTGAAAACAGTCTATTATCTCATGACCTGATTATTTTCAGAGATAAAGCAAAGAATATAGATTATACAATGTATTCATAAAGTGTGAAAACAGTCTATTATCTCATGACTTGATTATTTTCAGAGTTAATCGAAGATTAACTCTGAAAAGGGTTATCTCATGGATGTTAACGAATAAATATCGATGGCAAAACATCGACCATTGAGTGTTCAACATCGATGTTTTTCAATCATCGATGAATATTGCTTAAAATTATCGATGAGGTCACATCTGCTAAGGTAGTGGGGGTAAAATTAATTTTTATTCCGAAAAGGTTAAAAACAAGAATAAAAATCGAACTGCTGAGCTTTAAATTAACTCTGAAAATAATTAAGTCATGAGATAATAACCGTTTCCACACTTTTATGAATGTATATTAATTTAAACTATCAAAAAATATAACATATTAAGGAAATGAATATTGAAATTTAGAGAAATTTAGAAAAACAAACGACAAGCAGTTAAAGAAATCAGAAAGATTTATAATAAAGTTACACTGAAGATTTAATTTCCGAAATAGCAAATAGATAGCAAATTATAGAAGTGAAGTTTATAGCAACAAATATAACAAATTTAATGGTTCAGTACCCAATTAGGATGACATTTTTACCTGATTTTGGGGAGAAACCTAGAGCTAGAAAAGTATGCGCGGTAAGTTTTAAGATAATTTGATTTTTTATTTTTTATATTATCTTTCCTGTAGATCAAATTGAATTCCACTACTAATTTGACTTCTTCTGGCCAAATGTTCTAATACAAGCTCATGGGACAGTTGTTTAAGAAATAGTTTCAATCCCCTAGCTCACTGGATATTGCCCCTCAGTTAAGTAGAGTGAGCAATTTTATGTGCATTTTGGCCATTTTATTTTAAACTGATTTGGAGATAAGCCTGAAATTGAAATTAAGAAATAGGTAACCATTCATACAAGATTGGCCTTTTTTGTATTGAAAGTTTTGAATATTATAATTTTTTGTTTTGATAATAACTCAATAAAGGCAAAAATGATGTTTAGCCCTTTTAATAGGACTCAGGTCCAGATATATCCTAAATAGGTCAACTTTGGATTTCAAAAACATGTTATAGTTTTTATATTTACTGTGATTTTTTTTATTATTTTAATAGTTATAAAAACATATTTTAGAAACACGTCTGGTGAAAAATATGCAAGGATGCCAGTGCACAAACATTCTGCTTATTACAATATGGAACATCCTAAAAGAGGCATGGCCCTTATCTTCAACCACGAATTCTTCGACGATAAAAAGGTACCAACCAGAAAAGGTACTGGAGAAGACTGCCAAAACCTTAAGGAGTGTCTTATTGCTTTGGGCTTTCATGTGCAGGTTTTTAAGGATTTAAATAGCGAGGATATTGAACAACACATTGAGGACAGTAAGTTTTTAATCTATTTACATTATTTGTTTACAACGGCAAAAAGTTTTAATTTCTAAAACATTCTTGGTTCCAAAATCCCCTCATCCATTCAAAAAGTCAAGGATACTATTATGTCTGCAATTAAATTAAGATAACCTATATACAGTATAGGTAAAAGTTTATGGTCGCCATGGATCTTACGTGAGATGGAGTGAGAAACAGCTGTTTAAAAAGAGAGAGGTATATTAGGTCTGCCCTTTATATTGCCGAAAATGCATTAGTGGAAATAATAAAAAAGGGGAAGTTCAACGTTGCCAAACTTATTCGTTTTATTTGACCTGTTGTCTTTTTAGCATTTGAACAATGTTCTAAGATGGATTTAAATGGACTCTCGATTCAGTTGTACGTTTAGATGATGTCCAATTAATTGATCAAAAATACACCATGGACTTAAGTCATCTTTATCAGTTTCTTTTTCTTGTACTGGTTGATTTTCAGAACAAGAATACAGAGAAACAGAGAATAAGAGAACAAGAATAGTACAATCTTCTTGTTCTTTAATTATAGAAGTAACCAGCTTCTTAACTCTTTCTTTTGTTTTTTAGCTTCATTTTTATCAGAAAATCCCTGCACTTTAAATCGTGATTTCATAAATGTAGATAATGACAATGTGCCACTCTGTTCTATCCCTCTAAATCTTTTTGTTAAACCGATATTAGTAATTGTATTACGTCGAATACTATGGATGCAAGGTTACCGTTTTCTAAAATTGTATTAAAAGATTCTTGCAGTCAGCATACCATAACAATCACTGAACTATCCTTCAAGTATTTTTGACCACACATTGTACTTGTTATTTCTTTAAAAGGCCGTAAAATTTGAGAAAGTTAAGAACAAATAATCCAGTCTTCATTATTTAGATTTGGTCTAAGTCTGTATTAACTAATACCAATGTGGAATGGATTGCCTCTTCTAACTCGGTCATTCTTTTTAACATGTAATAGGTGAAGTTCTACCTAGTTTCACATCTTGGATTGGCCGTTTGGGAACTTTGTTATGTTGTAATTGATACTTTAAAAGCCTTAAGTTTTGAAATGTGTTTTTTGCCGAAATGTCGAAAAAAAGACTTTTTATTTTATCTATTTGTACACGACAGCATTTAAGTGCGTCCTCCACCAATAAATTTAACGTATGAGCAAAACAATTTAAATGTTTTCATTCCAAAACATCTTTAATAGCTTTGACCATATTTGAGGCATTATCAGTTACTGCAAAATTTACTTTTCGTTTTTAGACCCCACTTATTAATAATTTCACTAATTTCAAAAGTGATGTGTTCTGAATTATGGTAATTATGAATTAATTTGCTCAGTTTTAATATAAAACTGATAAAGTTTTTCTTGCTGGCGGTTTATATCCAGGAATCCACCCTGCAAACTTTTTAAAAGCTCGTTCTTTAACTATGGAAAACGGATGAAACGAGTCTTTGCATAATACAAGTAATATTTACAAGAAACTATATTTTTTTCAGCTGCCAAAATCGATCATAATAAATATGATTGTCTGTTAATTTCTGTTCTTTCCCATGGGGACATGGGAATAGTATATGCAAAAGATGTACCGTATAAGTCGGACAAACTATGGACACCTTTTACTGCAGACAAATGTCCCAGTCTTGCAGGTAAGAACCATTTTTTTAATTTGTCTTTTTAGTATAGTTAAAGAACCCATTATAAACAGTTTTATAATGGGTTCTTTTCAAACTATTTGCGTTTTACTTATAGCTAAATATCCTACGCATACAATTGGAAATAAATATTGGTTGTCAGGTTGTCAAATATTTGTTATCTGTGGTTTTTTCTCACTGGCATTCCGTGTTCTTCATCGATCCTACCTCAGTTACCTGGATTCTTGTACATCTCTCATAAACTATTATATCCACGTCTCCGGAGTGACGTCGTCGGTAAGTAACAAGAAATGAACGAAGTGAAAGCAAAAGCCACACTAGGAATGGAGTTATTATAATTGCTGATAGATATGCTGAGACGAAAATGCCACTGAACTTCTAAAAATCATATGAACAAGCGGAATTTTGCTCGGAATGTCTACCTCAATTTTTTACCACAAATTTACCTTTATTCCAGCTGTTTCGCCCTCAAAAGCGTTTTTCAGGTCATTCGTTAATTGTTTAGGATTTCTATAGGAAGCATATGTCAGGTCCAGGGTCCAAGAGAGCAGTAGATAACTTTAATTGATGTAATGTCAGTGAAATCACGAGTTGTTCTTTTAAGGAAGCCAAGCATTTTCATTGCTTTTTGAACTACTGTAACAATCTGGTTCTTTGTAGCTTAATGAGGAATAGAGAACAACACCCAAATCCCTAACTTGTTCAGTTATTTCCAAAAGTTCAGCGTTTAAGCTTTTGAGTTCTATTCATTAAATAAGTACCTAACCACCTCAGTATTAGGCCAGTTATACCATACGAACTAAACTTATGAAGCAGAAGATCATGATTGACTTTGTCAAAAGGCTTTGAAAAGTCGGTATACACAGAGTCAACTTGTTTACACCTTCCAATGCTTCAATCAAATAATAAGTATAGGTTAACAAACCAAGTTCGACAGATTTACCCGAGAAGAACCCAAATTAGTAGTTAGTTATGATACTGGAACAGTCATAAAGACAGTTTTACATTATGCTATTTTCATGCTAGGCAAGAGCCATGCAAGACAGATCATGAAACTGCGCATGCCCACGGGCTATTTCCATGCAATTCCTGTGCTAGACGAAAAATTAGAACATGTTCTATTTTTCATGCTATTTTCTTGCAATTTATCGTTAAAATTCATGTTGCCAACATAACAATTTATTATAGATTACAGAATTGATTACAGAATAAAACATAACCTTATCTCTATCCAGTAGCTTAAGGAAAGTGGACTCGTTCATTCGAAAAAAGTTTTTAAAACTTTGAAGGTCTCTAGCATCCAAGAACTCTTGGGGTAACTTCAAATTTCCCAGTCCTGCGTTCAACCAAGGTTTGACCCAGCATTTTCTAGGTTTTCTTTTTTTATTATTTTTCATGATTGTTGCTGTAACAGCAATATTCAACAATAACAATGTTTTCTTTTCTTTGGTTGACATCCTTCACCCTTTTAATAACCATAAATAGTGTATATTTATTTATTATATTATTTATTTTAGTACTTAATTATATTTATTTAAAATAAAATAACCTCAAATTGATAAATATTTTCTCTGTTGGCAACAATGAAAGTGGGATCTAAAATTGCACAGAAATATCTCTGATGTAAAAAGGTCAAGCTAGGCAAGAAATGTGCCATGCAAGACGGACTTGCATAGTATGAGACTTGCATAGCCTAGATGTAAAGCTGCCTTAAGAAAGTGTGTTTTAAATCTTTTGAATCGTACTAAGTATAGATATAGGTCTATAATTCTTAACATCAGATTTAACATATATTGGTAAAATATAGGATCGTTATTCCAATAATCAAGAAATTCAGCTGTGTTAAGAAACTTATTAAAGATATGAAAAACAGGCCGAGCCAATATGAAGCTAAATTTTTTAAGTAGAGTTGGTGGAACACCATCTGGCCCAGGACCCTTAAAAATGTTAAGTTCAGAAAGTTTTTCAAATATTTTTGATATCTGAATACGATACACTAAAGACACCTTGGTCATCGTAATGGTGTAAGGCCTGATTAGTGTCCACAGATGAAAACTAGCTAGCAAATAACTAAGCGATATCTCTGCCAGATGGAGCTATTAAATCATCTAAGTTCATCATGTTCGGTATGACATTATTTTCTACGTTGATTGCTACAAACCTCCATAAAGCGTAACGTTTGACTTAATAGATTTCTCTGTAAAACCTACATGACCCGAGTAACACTCCGTTGACAAGAGTTTACACGGAGCTTTGAGTCTTCTAAAATGTGCACAACTCTCTGGAGATCTGTGAGAAATTATTTTATCCCTGAGTAAGCTTATGAGCTGAGGGTAGTACCAACAGGGAAATTTTTTATAACACACTTTTTGTAAAGGGACACACAACTGAATAATAGAGTACAAAGTATCATTAATCACCGAAAGCATAACAGGAAGTTCTCTATTTTGTAAAAGGTTGTCCCAATTCACAATTTCCAAGAATTGGCGCATAGCTATAAAGTTTGCATTGTAAAAATCACAGGTTTCCTGTTCAGATGTCATTTCATCACCAACTTTGAAATATATTATTGTTTCAAGTTGAGGGTGATGAGGATCTTCTGGGATTAAAATATCTAGAGCCTTGTTAACAGATAATTCCTCAGTAGATAGAATGAGGTCTAAAGTGACTCTTCTATTATTTAAAATGGTATTGGACTGATAAAGATTGTGAAAGGCACATGTATTAGAAACAGTTTCAATAGCTTCTACTTCAGCTAGAGAGATAGAGTGATAAGAGTGTTCAGGTGAACAACATTCTTCTAGTATCCAAACAGCAGATGGAAGATTGTAGTCTCTGAAGAGATAAAGCTTTGAATTAGAATATTGCTCACATAAACTAAGCAGTACACCAGAGTGCGCTTGATATTGATTAATTCTGGATCTAGGTGAAATATATACTGCTCCAATAAGATTTTTTGTTCAATTGAACAAAAGCTGTTCGACAGAAGCAACTGATGGAAAGCAAAATCTTGTTACATCTACTAACAGCTACTAACACCTGAACCATGGCTGAAATTACTGGATTCCTGTGTCCGGTTCTGTCTGTAGATATCATAATTAAGTAAACCAAGTTCAGCATCGCTTATATCAGCTATTTACCCTGTTTCAGTAAATATAATAACATCGAAGGATCTGTTAGAAATTGATGTAATTGTTAACAACCGTTAAAGGGAGCAAAGCGTTCTACTTAGTCTATGTGTTCGGGAATGATAAATTTAGTCTACTACAGCTTATAGTAGAAGGGAAAATTAAAGGTAGGAGAGGGTTAAGTACAAAGAAGAAAATGACGTCTGAGAAACCTAAGGGAATGGTTCTGGAAATACTAGAAGTTGCACACATAATATGTTTGCTGCGACATAATAAGTCTTCAACCTTAAGCTTGGATCCGAATACAACATAACATTGACTGGGACAGTATACCCAGTCAAGCAGATGTACATAATAGAGCTGTTTGATGGAGACTTAAGTTGCAGATTTTATATATATATATATATATATATATATATATATATATATATATATATATATATATATATATATATATAAGTGACTCCAAAACTATATAGAACCGATCCACTAGACTTATACAAGCTGATACTCTGGTCTACTATGTCACTACTGGTCTCTGGTCATTTCTATTACATCATGCATGGTCTTTTGCAAGTTCCTGTGATCAGGTCAATCCATCTCGTTGGAGACATTTCTCGTGGTCTTCGACCTTATAGCTTCCCTTATATGATGAGTCTCTCCTACATGTCCAAAAGATTTTAATTGTAGTTGCATTTTATCGCAGAGCCTCTTCCAGATCTTTAGTACTTTTAGAATAGAATTATTTGTTTTACAGTCGGTCCATGGAATTCGCAATTTTTACTTTCTAACACCTTGTTCAGGGTGGAATGCATTTGAAAGTATGTTAAGCACAAGTTGAAAGAATACTTGTATAACTCACTTATAAGGGCAATCAGCTGCTTTGGACTCAGCTGATACAGGGTTCTAGAGTTCTGGAATGAGTGCCTTGATTAAACGGAAAGTATTCAATTGGCTGCAGTACGGCCGGTTTATAATAGACGGCTTCAATAAAAAAAAATCTGTTAGCTGTATCTACATGTTCTAAAAAATAAAGATCGTTGATTCATTTTGTAGGAAAACCCAAAATATTCTTCTTGCAAGCCTGTCGAGGTAATCAATTCGATGGTGGGATCACGTTGAAAAAAACTGAAACTGATGGAGAGCAGACTTCTTATAAAATTCCAGTTGAAGCTGACTTCCTCATAGTATATTCTACAGTGAATGGTAAGTTAAAAATGTGGTTAGGCTTATTTTTGTAGTTATTATCTTCAGTCGGAATTCTATAATTGAACCTACTGAAGAAATTTAATCCTACACTGTTCTTTATCTTGTCTTTCTTTAAAATAACAATATTAGGACTATCTATAGCATACCAGGCTATTCCTTTAGCCAGGCTATTTGTCATTACTGATTTATCCCTGTTATAAATCTTATTCCATTTCTACTGTCTTTTTTCGTTTAATCTAGCGATTCATGTATACATTCTTTATATATTGTTTGCTCCATTTTGTTACAAATTTATTCCAGTTCCATTATAATTTACAATAAATAGGTGTTTCCATTCAAAATTTTGAAGAAAAACATATTTTAATTTTTTTTATTTGAAAGTCCCTCTACCTACGACTATGAAAACTGAATGCAAGTATTTTATAGTAGATGTAAATTAATTCATCCACACTCTTTCTAATGACACTAATTTCATTAAAATCGGTTGGATCAAACCAAAGTTATAGGTATTTATCCACAAATACTTTCCCACTCTCCCCCACCCTTTATTTGAAAAAATAAAAAAAAAGTACTTGAACAACTTTGTGCAGAATTTATGCCCCTTTCTAGTTTACTTATTTAACGCTTGGTATAATTGGACATATTTCCCAAAAAATGGTTTTCAAAATTTTCTTCGCAGGTTACGCCCCCTAGCGGTTAATCTAGAATCTTGAAAGTTATTTCCAGCGATTTCTCGTGGCCACTTTTACTAAGGAATTTTTTTTCCTAAAGTTATAACATGAATAGTTTCTGATATATAGCCGAGAGATCGGCTTATTGGACCACCCGGTACATGCTCGTAAAATAACGTTGCCATTTACAAGGTAATGCCTAATCCTAAAATTAACGCACTGTATTACTAATTGCCCATATTTATGCAACACATTCATTTAAATTATTTTAATTAAGGTTACTACTCATGGCGTAATCCCATTACAGGTTCCTGGTTTATTAAATCGCTCTGTGACGAACTGAAGAAAAAAGCTTTTGAACTGGACCTCGTGAGTATTCTGACCTTCGTCTCTCAACGTGTAGCCGTAGACTTCGAAAGCAACGTTCCAGATGACATCACCATGCACAAGCAAAAACAAATACCCTGTATAGTGAGCATGCTTACTAGATTTATCCAGTTTAACCGTAAGAAGGATTAAAAAATTAGCTTTGGATTGTGGATACTCGTCTTAATCGATTTCAACAAAAAACCTCGCGTTTATTTTATATTTTAAGTATATTTTAAAATTGTAACAATATCTACATGATGAATAAAAAATTTTATAATAAAAACAAATATGAATAAATCCAGACAGGCTAAATGTTCTAGATTCTAGATATTTGCGGGGAAGGCGTCCGTGAAGCTGACCAATCCATGGAATTCACGCTGGGGGTGTTAGGGGGAGCTATGAGTAAGGTCGACGGGTCAGACATGCTCACTAAGAGCGGTTTCAGACCCGCCGGCTGGAGGAAGAGGAGGTGAGTTTAGTCGGTAGGCGGTCTCGGCACACGGTACAGCGTGTCGGACTGAATCCGACACACCAGGGACATCTTCCCTGGCGGTCTTTTTTTTTTGAAGATTCTCACCTCAAAAAAAAAGATTCTAGATATTTATTACAAAGATTTTTCCCACAATTTACGTTTTACGTAATTGATCAGCTCAATTTTATACACGTACAACCACATGGAATCTTAATTTTCAGAATAATATCGGTAACTTTCATTTCACTCAATATTTGAATTTCATTTCAGTCAGTAATCATTTCCATGGTACACAACTGCTTCTTCTTCACGTGCCATCTCCGCGACGGAGGTTGACAATCATCATGGCTATTATGATCTTAGATGCTGCTGCTCTGAATAGTTCAATTGATGTGTATCCGTACCATTCCCTCAAGTTACGCAACCATGAGATTATAACCATACAACATAACACAACTGCTAGTTTGTTATAATTGTGGATAATGGATCTATTGCTAATAGTTATAATAATTGCTTTCAAATTCACGGCAGATTGAGTACTATGTGTGCTAGTTTCTCATCAATCATCTGTCTATATTTTTCATTTTCTATCTTTAGTCTGATTGGTTCGTTCGTTTTATTATTTTTTTTTTGTTTCCAAGACCGGTACAAGTTGTTTAATCCTTATTACAACCAAATGACAAAACTCGAATGCAATTCAACATAAACACATGCATTCATTACATACCTAACAAAATATGCCAGTTTGTTCGGTTTATATAACATCGTCATCGCTCCATTCGATGATCATGTCTGTGATAAAACCGAAATATTAAAACATATGAAGCCTAAAACAAATTTTCTCAATTTTATAAACAATAAATTACGATTATAAATTAGAAATAATTGTTCTCGTTATTTTTGTATCGATTAGTTGTTGAAAATATTTTCCATAAACCTGTGTTTTTAATAAAATAAATGTTTTATTTTTTATGTAATTTTAATTTATTACTTTTTTCCAAGCTTCGGCACTGATCCTGACATAGTGCTATTCAGAATGAACGTGGCTTTGGTCATTAGTGCATGAATTCGCCACTAGAATCAGGACTAGTTTCCTTTCCCTACAAAACATTCGTTTTGTTAAGAAATAAATTGAAGTATATCAGTGTTTGTTGTTGTGTAAACACCAGTTAATTGCAGTTTCGATCAATAATGACTGTAGACAGAGATTCTAACTTTGATCCTGACCAACCCAAGGCCTAGGCCTAATAATTTAGAAAACTTTTTCAATCATTTTGCAGTAAAAAGGCTTGTAACGTATTCTTCTAGTTCAGAAGACTAAGATGGAAATCTGGATTCATTGTTTGATAAGGAACCAACAGAAATGGGGCCTCTAACAAGTATAAAAGAAGGAAAACGACTTCGAAAACCTTCACAACATAAGCAAATTATTGCCAAGCAAGCCTGAAATTCTGGACAGCGATATGTGACGAAGGTAAAACATTTCAACATATTCCTTGTTCCTGTAAAATAAAATGTAATGACAAAATCACACTAGAACAGAAGAAGTATTTGTTTCAATCGTTTTGAAAAATGGGAGGTTTCAAGAGACAAAATCCAAGAAAGGACGGACAACTAAGACATCTTCGAATAAATATTATTTGTAACAATAAATTATCCGCCATGGTTTTTAGTGAAGATATTAGGTCCGTCATGTGAAGATAGTAGGTCTCCAAGAGAAAACTTGAGAGGATTAAAAGGCTGTTCTATACTTAAAATACCAGAAGACTATAGAAACTATGTTATGCAACATATCCACTGATTTTCTTCATACCAAAGGCATTACACGAGGAAACATAACCCTAACAGCAAATATCTATGCGATAATGTATCTAGAAAATTATAAGCGGAAAAGCATCTAGAAAATTAAAATATCTAATCCTGATTTGGGTCAGGAAGGTAAGAGAATACTTAAAAGAGATCATGAGCTTCATCTTGGGAAGGCCGATTTAGCTAGAGATTAACAGTTTCAGATGAATACTACAAACGAAAACTCTACTGCTACAATTTTGGAGTACATGATTTTGAGAAAGATTCTGGATATTTTTATGGCTGGAATGAAACCACAGTCGGAAGAAGCTCACAACAAATTTTTTCATGTCAAATAACACCTAAGACCTACGCAATCAATAAAAACATGTAACTATTTACACAGATACTTAGAGGTCAAAATCGAAAATTGAATATGTGTTTGGCATTACTGAGCTTTATTCAGAATGAGGAGACTATCATCGAGACATCGATGTTATAGATCAAAATTTTTTGGTTACAGGCATGGACGTATAAATAAAGATGGACTGGGCATGCCCTGCACTCTATTCGCCTAAATTTGAAGTCAAAAAGTTTATAGGCGCGGGGAAAGAGGCGAGGTGATAGACTGTGACATTACCTTTTAAGTCATCGGCGTACCTTCCAATAATTGAAAGGTATTTGAAACAGTTTTTTCATTTGAATAAATAATGACTATTGGTTTTATTGCTTTTATTTTTAGTATCGTAAACATATAAAATATTTCGAATAAGTGAGATACAACGAACGATGAATAATTTTAATTTTCAGTGTATAGAAATAAATATATTTATAAAAATTGTTTTACACAAAAGAATAAAGATGGGGTAAATAAAATCGCAAAGTACTTTATATAATATTTTATTTAAACTAAAATAATACACAAGCAATAAAAAGTTTAAAAAATTCTTCCCCAAACATTAACCTGTTCAGGGTATTGAGTATGTTCTTCTCTTATCCAGTGAGTGATACGTTGAAAAAATGTAGTGAATTATGGTTTATAACTCCAGATTAATTGTTATTTGGCAACATTAGAAGTCATGTTAGACATAGCAGTAGGCAGAAGAAAGATAAAAGTTCAGGAATATGTATTTAAGAAAATATTAATAAACGTAAGAAAACATAAACTATTGTTTAACAAAACATGAACAACAAACCACATATACAACAATATATAAACACATTAAACCTTATGGATGGGGTAGGTTTCTAAAATAGAAATATGCTTTATTGTCACTGAAAATTGTACAATTTTATGAACAAAACTTACAAAAAGTAAAAAAAAATAACAATAACAATTAAAATTTACTAAAATTACAAAAATGGTCAATGTCATATAATAAAAGATAATAAAATTTACAATTCATTGCAAAATCTAACTAAATTGCAAATTGCATAATAAAACCTTAGGAAGTAGTTTACGAATAAGTTTTAGTTGCTGCATTTGATACCCAAATATATAATACTTTAGTTGCTTGTACCTAAACGTACTGTAATTTCTTAATTTCTCGTTAAGAAACTCTTCCACTGAATAATATGGTCTTTCAGATAGATAGGCTTTTGTTAATTTACAGAACTTAAGGAAAGAAGTTGTAGATTTAAGTTGCAAAGGGAATTAATTGTATAATTTTTTTGCCGAATATAATATAGATTTATTTACTAACTCAGTGGACGAAATCGATAAATACATATCAAAGGTTGAATTTCTGGTGGACAATTCATGATTGGGTCTTGCTGAAAAAACATGTAGGTGTTTACCAATTAAGAAAACAGTTTCTAGAATATACAAAGAGGGAAAAGTTAAAATCCCGTGATTTTTTATGTAGCTTCTAAAATGTATTATTTTACTGAGGCCAAAAAGATACCGTGTTGCTCTTTTTTGTAATTTAAAAATAACATTATATTGGGTAGCTGTACTAGAACCGCAAAAAAGGAAGGCCATATCGAAGATGAGACTCGAACAAAGAAAAATATGTTATTTTGGAAGATGCTAAATTCAGCTTCGAAACAGATCGTATTGCATAGCTGGCTGAGATTAGTTTCTTACTTAACAAATCGATATAAAGGAACCATTTAAGGTTGCTGTCTGTAAAAATACCATGACATTTTAAAGAAACAACGATACTGATCTGGCTGTTATTAAGAAGCAAGGGTTGAAGAGCTCCTTTATAGGATAATGCTACTGTCTTATTCATGTTAAAAGAAAGTAAATTATAGTCGGACCAGGTTTTATTTTAAGTTGATCAGAAGTTTTAATTGCATGAAAAGCTAAATATAAGAAAAAGTAGAGGACCCAGTACTCAATATTGCGGTACTCTACATACATGCTTTTGTGTCTAGAGTCAGTATTATTTGCTCTAACTGCTTGTTTCCTATTTCTCAAGCACGATTGGAACCAATTCAAAGAAATACCTCGAATTCCGTAGAAATTTAGTTTTTTTTATCAAAATGTCGTGAATTACACAATCAAAAGATTTGGCATAGTCTCAAAAAAACAGTGGCAGCGTAAAGATTATTGTTTAGTGCTTAATAGACCTCATGTAGTACAGAAAACATAGCATCACTGGTACATTTATTAGATAAAAAGCTGAACTGACTTCGTGATAAAATGTTCATTTCAACAAGAAAGGACATAAGTCGGGCTCTTATAAATCTTTAATCATTTTAGATAGGATGTAATTTTGTTTCATTCTTCTTACATATTGTTGTAAATACTTTATTTTATTTTTTGACTCTTAACAGTATTTTTTAACACTCTAAAATGTTTTTTGATCCTTTCAGGTGTTGAAAAATCGCTGCTAGACATGTCTTCAATGGTTTTATTTCTAAAACATAATTAGGTTTTCATAGTTATAATACTTGTTTTTATAAATTAAACTAAGAACTCACTTTTTATAAATATTACGTGGAACATATGAAAAAGTATTATCACCAAGTAACAACTCTACAGTTTCAGTTTCTGATGCTGTAATGGTGCTCGAAGGTGCATTTTCTATATCTATACTTTCCTTGTTTTCTTCATTGTCATTTAAACATCTAGAATAATCAATTTATGTACATTAAAGAAAAATATTAAAATTGGTTTAAGATTGAAATAATCTTATACAAAATTTATCCAAAACTCACCTCCTTTTTAGAAGAATTAGATTTTACTATTAAGGCCCAAGTCTGTCTCCATATTACATTTTTCAGTATCAATGAAACTCCTAAAATACTGTGAGTAATTTTAATATTAAAATGAAATAAGTAATTAAAATCCACATTTAGATTTATTTGTAAATTTAATTAACAAATTCGATCCAAACTAACCTTTTTGACGGTCCATAAAAATCATTCATATCAATATTACTGGAAGTTGTTTCTTTATTTTCCATATCGTTTGTAGAACTGAAACATTGAATTAATATGCTATGCATGTGCATTATATTTATTATACTCTGTATAGTAAATTACATAGAAATTCGTTATAGTTACCTTAGTTCTGATGATTTATGATAAATATTTATTGGAACAGTTCCTTTCCTCATATTAACCCGTCCACTTGGTTGTATAATTAGATCATGCTTTCTAAAGTGTTCTGAGCAGACCATAGCAGTTTTGGTTACTTGTTCTTTATTTAAGCCGAACATAGACAACCACATATCTAGCAGCTGTTGATTCTTTACTGGGAACCTGCATATGATATTTCTTTGAAATTAATATATTTATAGCAATTATAGTGTAGATTAGAAAAAATAAATAAATGTATTTATAATACGACAAAATTTACTTTATTTCACAAAATTTAATTTCAATTCATGTCAAGAATTAAGTAATATCACATCCCTGTACTACGCTCATAGACGTAATTCCAATGTTTACTTACGAACGAAATGACAGTTCTGGATGAAAATATTAACAAATTCACTAAAATGTCACAAAAAAGGAAATTATCAACTCAAAGGTAAACAGTACAACGCCATATTCCTTTTCCTCCAATCACTACGATTGGTTAATATTACTAATAATGTCAAGTTTTACATAAAGTTAAGATTATCAGAATATATTTTCTTTTAATAAATTAAAAAATTAATGTTTTTCTTTTAATTCCTTGGTTGCGAAATGAGTATATCTAAAAATAGTTTATACTAACTAAATAATACATTTTTATCTATAAATTAAAATTAAATTATACTAAAAATCGAAAATTATTTCAAAGATTCGCTTGGAAAAAAAAAATAAGACAACGTCAATTGTGTCTATGACTGTGACGATCTCATGGCTTCATGTACAGATGTAAATAGCCCGGTCCTTCTTTATTTATACGTCCATGGTTACAGGCCATTCATATTTGCCCAACGACGCTGATTTTGGTAGCATAGAATCAGCAGTAAAAGGAAAAGTCATCTATGTTTCAGAAAACTGGCATGGCAACGTGAAAAAATTAAAAAGAAGTTCATTGTAAATAAACTGATAAATGAAGATTTTTTCAACTAATAATCATTGACAACAATCTTGTGAACTGGTTGAAAATTCAGTGGACCAGTCTATAAAAAGATAATGCTTGCGAAATAATGTACAAAGAAACATTGCATAATATGGTAGAGTTAAATGCCTAAACATAAAGCCGACTGGAAGAAAACAAAGCTCGTAGCTTTAAAGAACGTACCATTCGAAAATTTTTATCCAACAAACAGACCTGTTGCGAAGTTGAAACGTTTATACCTCCGGTGAATCAGATGTTTTTCTTCACGTTCAAACCAGTAACAGAAAACTTTTTACGTTACACTATGCACGTTAATTGTTCAGTACTCGTTGCTTTTTTCAGATTCAAATCGATATGATTCAATTTACCTTGCACCTATTTAGAGTGAAAGTGACTTAAGTCAATTTAGCCCAATTTTTTGTATTGGATATGAAAGTTGTAGAATTCATATTTCTAGATTAGATTGACCACCTAAACGTAGACATTTTTCAGTCATTTGTATTGCAATACCGTTTTATTTGTTTTTTTTTTAAATCATTTTAACAAACAACCATATTCCACAGACATGCCTTAAATTGAATTATGCCACTTTCATTTTCATCGGCTTAAATATAAGCAATAAAAGAATAATATAATAACAGATTCTCAAAATAATTGAGAAGACATTGCGAAGAGATATAAAAGGCTGCAGAAATTTCAAGGTCCCATAAATTTCTCTCACAGGATCCTCAGTTAAGGTTTCTCTCACTGATACCATTAGATATAATACATGGCAGCAAACTGGACTGGATACCATGATTTATTATTTTTAGGAAAAAGGGCAAGTGGCAAAAGAAGTGGTAAATTGGGATAAAATCTCTTTTAAGCCATATAAACCGCCGGGCCCAGACTGGATTTATCCAATACTTCTACAGAAAGAAAATGACTTTCTGTACAAAAAAATATGTATGATACTATCGGAGACAGATAAGTTTAATGCCATTCGTTCTGAAGACTCTAGAAAAACTGCTCGATAGGCACATTAAGGATTATGTATTGATTGAAAGTCCGATACGTCAGAGACAGAAGTCATGTAGGACTTTCTACGAAAACTGCATTGTACCATCTCATACAGGTTAGTAGACCATCGTTAGTGATGTACCATCTCATACGTTTTGGACAACCAAGACGTCATCTGGTTCCCGATATAAAGGGAATATACGAGATTCATCTAAAGGTGCATTTAAATCAAAAACCGAATACAAACGAATGAACGAATTAGTTCGTTAAAATTATTGTATTTAAACACGACCGAACGAAGTTGTTCCAACCGGTCTCGATAAATCAGTGAATCATCAAAGGAAAAACAGACTTAAAAGAGGAAGGCATCGAAGCTTTTATAAAGAAAAAATAAGATGTGAATGAATTTTTATTTTATTAACTTAATATTATCTTCAAATTGTTTTTCTCCAATGTTCATATTAGCAAAACATTCGCACAATGCACACTTTGCGAATGCAAATGTTACTTATCTTCTGTTTTATGGGATCTGGTTATGGATGGGCTGATTTCTGTGCTCGGTACTACTCGGCAGCCACACGCAACTTGTCCTGGGCTATGCAGATCACCTGGGTATCCTAGCCACAGTCAGAGAGAATGAAACAGATGAACTTAAGCTTCCAGAGGTCAACAATCATGAAATTTACCAGAAGGGGGAATTGAGAGGGATTAGCTTATCTAACCATAAATGGTACAAATTTAAATCTGGTGAGCAGAGTTAAGTATCTTGAATGTAACATCCGAGGCTTAGTTGTAATCATCAGATAGAACGAATAACCAAGAAAGCGCTAACCTTTGGGCATATCCTTTTGGCAACCAGAAACTTCTAATTAAAAAATCTTATAGTGTATTCTTAGTTGCATATTATTATTTTTCTGGCGTCAACCTCTTATTGGTTATCATTTTTTGTTTAAAATATGCAATATGCAACCGAATGTCACTTTTATGTCTTGTCATTGTCAACTAATAATGCAGCTTTCCAATGACAATTGTCAATTTCAGTAATTGGTTAGAATATGCATATTTTATAAAGTTTTTTTGATTTATTGTTTACTTTTCGTGTAGTTTTACATCATAGATAAATAATATAGTATATACAGGTTTTACATCACGAAAAATGATGAATCCTAAAAGATCGTCACATACTGCACCAAAAACAAATGCTAGACACAATGGAAAAGTAAAAGAAATACTACAATCAGTTAAATACAAGCAGAAATTCGAGCCAAAAGTTGAGGAGCCCGACGTATTTAATGTTCCAGTTATTAGGCAAAATGAAAATTGCAACCTACTACCGAAATACACGTCAAGTAAATAAACTTATAGCACATAATCTTATTCGAGGCTGTGGATAAAGCTCTGACAATCTGACCTAATATGAGGGTTCAGTTGGCTATTTTTTATTATATATACATCTCAATTTTCTCGACTTTTCTTTATATTCACCAAGAGTCCATGGAATGAATATTTTTAACGCGATTTTAATGTTATGCTATAATTGTAGGACCATTTACATTGTTGCTCCTCTGTTTCTAATCTGTAGTGTTATGTTTAGAGCATAAACATACCAATTGCCAACCCTAATTCTTTCCCCCTTGTTTTCTAGTTGTCTAAGGAAGTTAACTTCCAATTGTTCAGATATTTTTATTTCAAACCTGTGTTCCTTTTGCTTCTGTTGTCATTGTCAAGTACTTGTATGCTGTTATATCTATACAGTTATTAAATTTTCCCAGTAAGTATTCATTTTCATTTTTTCCTGAATTGGTCTCAACTATTTTTTGCTTCTAGCTTTTATTGTAAACAACTAAAAAATGTTAAATATTTTTTTAGAAAACATTCATAAAATAATGGTGAAAAAATAAGAAATACAGTAAAACCTCGATATAACGGACCTCTATTTAACAGACTTCGGATATAATGGACAAATAATCCAGTCAAATGTAAAAAAAAATAAAAACATACTGTTAAAAGAATGAAATTGACTTGTGAAACATCACTGGAAGAAGCAATCTTAAAATTATATGGCCAACAATGTTCTAGTAGGATCATACTATTCAGAACAAGTGATGGAAGGCTCTGGCGCTTTCGCAAAAGTAACGGGGTCATGAATAAAAGAATAGATTTAGAAAGTTTGATAGTTACTGATATTGTAGGACAATACATAATAATGCTGGAGAACATGGAGGGAGGAAGATGTTTTATAATAGCTAGAAGTAGATGAAGGTGACCCTGGGTATAACATCATGACTGAAAGTGAAATAGCAGATGAAGTTCTGAACCTAAAAAATGAGGATGAAAGTGAAGATAGCGAACAAGACGACAAACAAATCTGTTAAAAATAAATAGTAAGATCGCATCTTGACGATCTAATAACATTTCTTGATTATACATCAAATAGTTAAACTGTATTCTATGCATTTTCGTAATTTTAGAGAGTTGATCATAAAACATTGTTGTTGAGTTGAGTTTATCATTTTAATTTTCAAAAAAAAACATTTTGATTTATTTTAAACATATTTTAATATAACGGACTTTCAGCTTTAACGGACATCCATCCCTCCAAGTAGTCTGTTATATTGAGGTTTTACTGTACTTCCAAAACTAATCTTTTATATGGGAAGTTTGATTGTTGGCTCTTTATCAACTGCTTCATTATTGTTATTTAAAATTGTTGTTCAATGATTATGATTTATTTATTAATCATTTCAGTCATCTAAATTCAAAACCTGACATGTCCATTAAAATGAATTTTAAGTAAACCTGAAAAAACTTTTAGAAACTTCATTTTTGTTGGAAATAACCTGCATCAATGTCTATTATTTTTGTTTGGTTATTTCTACACCTAATAAATGGCACTCATAAATCTGTTACATTGAAGTTTTTTTTTAATTTAAATTTGGACATGTAGAGTTTTGCATGTTATTGACTTGGTCATGTCATGTTTTGACCACAATGTCTTGCTTAAAATAGCAGGAATCAGAAAAACTACAACTTTTTATTTTTTTTTATAAACAAAAATACATGTGGTCATGGGCATATACCAATAATATGAAAAAATATTTCAATATCGAAATGTAAGTGATCTTACAAATAGAATTTTTTGGTTTTCTTATCATCTGCTTATTCCTCCCTTAATATCTTGCAATGTTAGGCTACCAGCTTCATTTGATGTAATGCTGTAGATTTTCTTCAAAAGCTTTCTTGAAAAAAAGATAATGTTTCATTGTTTTGCCAAGAATCTCCTGTAAACCTATCATCACAGCATAATATACAGTTTCTGTCCCCTTCTTGGCAAATATTTATTAGTACTGAGAACTGAGATTGTCATTATAGCACTGCCTCTTTTTTTTTTTGAGATTTTGAACTTATGTGCCATTGGATATTAACAACCTGTAGTCTTTACTCCATTTTTTAAAATATTTTTTTTAATTTTACAAAAATTCTGTCTGGTGGAATACATGAATACCATGCAACTGGAAAAATTCAACTTTTCCTATGCTGTGGATTCAAATTTAATAGCCACTTGAATAGCATTCATATGGTTGTGGAGTTTTTATTTTGAGCTCCATATCCATCACAGAAATGGCTAACAATTTTTGCATTGTTACTAAATTCAAATGTTGTGAGGATATGGTATAGAGCTAACTCTATTTCATTAGATCATTAGAACCCCTCTAGTGGTTTTAGTTCTTTCCATTCATACGATCTAACTTTAGATGGATTAAATTTTCCAGTGGAACTTTCATTTTTGGTAGTGGAGGTTTTCTTGGCAACCAAAGCTGAATGTCCTTCTGCCATCTTGGTTTCCTCTTAGAAGCCCATAAAAACATTTAAATGCTGATGAACCATTATCTAATTTTTGTGAGCTCATATAGGGCTTTTTTAGTTTATGTTTAAATTGCAGATATATGGAACATGTCAGTTTTTGGAGTATCAAAACCAACAATATATTGTCACATAAAAAAGAATCTGAGACATTTTGATTTTTGATCTAACAGCAGATTATGATACTGTTTGGAGGCAGGGATTAATATATAAATTGAACTATATTATCTCCTGCAGAAAGATAATCAACCTCATTTACAACATGCTGACAAACAGTACCGGTCAGGTCATAGTGGAAAAGAATATGACCAGACAGATGAAACTTAATAATAGCTTCCATAGCGTTCTGTGATTGCCTCTTTACTTTTTGAAGTAAAATTTATTTATTTATCGTTATGGCAATTACAACACAGAACAAACTTACAAACACTAGTAATATAGGTATATGACAAACTTTAAATAATTACAACACAAACATCAAGTGTATTAACATAATCAATTGACTCTGAAGTTGCAAACAGGAAGTCTTCAGGGCTACGTTGTAGGATCTTGAGGGACACTCTTCAATAATGTGGTTGATTGTTTGGTTCTTCCCACAGTCACATTGAGGAGACAGATTCTTTCCCCATTTATGTACCATATATGCACATTTGCCATGTCTGGTTCGGATCCTGTTTAGAGTGGACCATGTTTTACATGGAAGATCAAAACCTGGTGGCTTGTGAGTAATGCAGGGCATGTTATGTTTGAAGTAAAAGTAAAGAGGCAATGAATCTCACAAGTTTGAATATGCTGACAACTGGAGTCATGCAACAACCCACCAATCCTTAGAAACTACAGAAAACACTCTAATTGATAATCTATCCATCATCAATGGATGCTTTAAAAAATGGAGAATATAATCAAGTACTACAAAGATAGAAGTATCAACTTTTCATCTCAACAATATCCTTATCCATCAAGCTTAAGATGGGCTCCAGGCCAGATATATCTGGTGGCAGAATACTGTACACTGGTGTGGTTACACTACAAGCATATCCACCTGATTGACACTCAGCTAAACCACATACATAATAGGCACAAGGGGAAGTCTAGTGGTGACACTGATTTATGCCAAAATCAGAGAACATAGGTTACGATGGTTTATTTGCATTTAACACTGAAATATTAATCACCCAGTATGAAGAATTGCTGATTTGCAAGTTCCTAGAAGGAGTAGGAGAAGAAGACCTGAGGAAGACACTTAGAAAGGACATGTCTATGAAGGGGATTGCTGTTGGTATGACCCAAGATAAAAACTTATGATAGATATATAGTTAGGGAAGCTGACCTCCATAGGTATTAAGGCAAATAGAATGAAGATGATCTCAAGCCCTTGTGTGTTTTTATTATATATTGGTTTAGGGTTTCAAGTGAAAATTTTTGAAAATCCAGGATAATCCAATTTATCCAAGTTCCATGTTATGAAAATATGAACCCCAGCTGGATTTAATGTATGTTTCTCACTGTAGTTTAGTATTTGTATTATTATAATTCCATTAATTGTTTTTACGACACAAAACAGTTAAGTAATATAAAAAAAAACAAAAATTATTTTTTGTATTCCAGTTTTGGCAAAGTCTGGAGAAGATGGTATATCAATGGTGGATCTAGACATGTTGCAGCAAGATTTAGAGAAGCTTCTGTCAACTAGCGCTGTTCGAATTAGATACTTACTTGCTGAAATAGGGGAAATCGACAAAAATTGTGAGAGTCCTGAAAAAAAGACACAAGTGAAAGTAAGTAAAGAATATTACACACAGAACTAACATGTTATTTTTACTACAATTTCTTCTTTCAGACTACTATTAAACGAAAACATATAGATGAAAAACCTAAGTTTAAGGATTTTAAGGTTACCTACCAAGAACAATTCTGACAAATTTTGGGCTTCCATTGAACCTTTTTGTGCATCTGTCACTAAGGATGATATGTCAGTAAGTAGCTATTTTAATATTCTTATACACTAAAAATTTTGCACAAATAATAGAAGGAAAACTTAGCTTTGGGAAAAAATTAGCTTTATTGTTTTTCAAATTATTCACCTTTAATATCAATACACTTTTCCATTCGTACAAACCAACTGTCAAAGTATGTATGCCAGTCCAAAATAAGTTTCTCAGTAATGAAATTTTTGTATGATTCAACCCTTTATCTGGTATCTTAAAAACATTTACCACATAGTTTGTTTTTAATTCTCTGAAACAAAGAAATCCATGTTGCCAAGTTAGGACTAGCTGTAGGCGTCTCAGAGCTGGCATCGTCCTGATGCAAGAGGATGTGACAATTTCAGTTGTTTTTGCGGAGTGAATCAATCTTTTCTGGCAAACAAATGGTTGTATACCATTCAGCATTGACATTTCTACCATTCTCCAAAGAAATAGTGACATTTAAAAAAAACTCAATCATTTCTTTGTCAATGTTGTGAGTGTGTACTGCTTTTGTTGGCTTTGGCATATCTTGAAACTCCATATCATTAATTGGTTTTTCATTTGGAGCTTATAGTAATATATCCATGTTTCATCACCAGTCATAATGTTCCATCCAAAATTTGAACTGTCTCTGGTGAATTATTTGAGTGTGACACAACACCTGCCTTCTTAAAGGCAGTCAAATTATGAGGAATTCAACTGCTGCACATCTTCTAGTCAAACTTCACCTGACTATAATCTAAGAATTATTCTTCGCCTATACACTCCCTTTTCCTTTATCCTGTTAATGATGAAGAAATAAAGAGTACAATTAAAGATACCTCAAAAAAATCCTCTGCTGGACTGGATGAGATCCGTATTCTATGTTATTACATGTATCTCATAACATATATAAACAATTAACATTTCTAGTAACCTTTCATTTCAGGAAGGGATTTTTCCTCAAATTCTAAATACTGCTCTAGTTGTGCCTATACATAAAAAAGGTGACAAATCAAAATTTGATAACTATCGAGGCTATCACTTTTATCTGTGTTTTATCGAACTTTGATAAGGGTAAGAAAGTTATCTGTTTGTTTTTTGACTTAGCACGAGCTTTTGAAACTGTAAATCATCCAATATTGCTGGAAAAACTTTATCATAGTGGTGTTAGAGGAACTGCGTTAAAGTGGGTGCAAACCTTTTTATCGAAAAGGTTTCAAAAAATTAAGGTCAATGTGAATGGGAATATAATATTTTCTTCAGAAGAAAGTGTCCTCTCCGGAGTTCCACAGGGAAGTATCATTGGCCCTCTTTTATTTTTGATTTTCGTCAATGATTTAAATCAACTGATAAACGATAGCTCAACATGTTTGGTTCAGAATCCATTAGATAATTTTTCTGATGCAATAAGCGAGGAGAAAAGTTAGAGCAGCAATCAGACTGTTACGTCACTCAATTTGCTGGCGATACCACAGTTGCACTAAATTCCAATAATTTTTTTCATGTAGTACAAAAAGCAAACTGTCTTGTAAAAAGTATGACTCATTACTGTTTAAATAAGGCCTAATCTTAAATGGATCAAAGACCAATATGGTAACCTTTTCACCTTCTACTATGCAGATGAGTCCATTAGTAAAGCTTGACAATGGGTCTGTGGTAAATAGCCACTCCACTAAGTTGTTAGGTGTTTACTGGATTCTAATTTGTCTTGGAGTTCTCATGTTGATTCTGTAGTGGGAAGATTGTCTGTATACTGTTATGTTCTAAGGCAACTTAGGAATTTCGTCTCCCTAGATATCTTGAAACTTTACTATTTTGCTCATGTACAGTCAATTTTGCAATATTGCTTAGTTTGTTGGGGAAATTGCTCGCGAATTAATGAGGTGCTTGTTCTTTAAAAAAAAATTATTTGTACCATGATGTTTAGAAGGCGCTTGGATTCTGTAGACCAGTTTTTAAACAATTCAATATTTTAACTGTAATTTCTCTGTATATTTTCAGTTGTGTTGTTTATGTAAAGTCACATAGATGTAATTTTATTGCAGAAATGATGTTTTCTTAATGAGTGGCTACAATTTTCGTTACAGAAATGACTTGGTGACCCTGCTCGTCACTTGACTGTTGTGGGCAAGGGTCCTTACCCAACATGCGTTAGTTTGTATAATAAATTACCTAATTACGTTAAAGAGTCAAATATTTATGTATTTAAGAGAACAGTTAAGCACTTACTTCTGGCAACACTTTCTACTCATCAGAGGAATACTTGCAGGCATCTTTTTAACAATTTGTATGTTTTGGGGATATTTTATGTTTTATGTTCTTATAGTTTTTACTTTTTTTACTACCTATGTACCTATAGTTTTTTAGATTGTATTTTGACGCATTTCAATACTTGTAAAAGTCAGATGAAATAAAGAATATTGATTGATTGATTGATCTTTGACACAGCCAAGTGGTCATGCAAAATTTTTTTGTATGTGACTATACCCAATGATGCATGAGTCTGATGATAGGTAACATCTCGATTTGCTTTAATCATGGTATACACATCATCAATGTTTTCCGGGACAACATTTGTGACCGGGTGGCCTTCACGGAATTCATCACTGTGGTTAGTGCTTCCATGCTTGAATTCTTCAAGCCATATGTAAACAGGTGGTGGGTCTGATGCTTTATTGATAATTCGCTTGATTTTTAATTTACCATATAGACATATGTGTAGAGAGCATTTTAGAAAATATCAAATACTCACTGTTCCCTCAATTTTTATATACAGAAGTATTCTGTATACAAAAGCTAATATCAATAGATTGAAATCAAATTCAGATGTACACAATTATCGTACAGACAAAAAGATTTCTTTAGGACTCCTAAACATTACACTTCTATGTTTGAAAAAAACCCTGATTATAGCGGCGTAAGGTTTTTTAATCAGCTCCCATCCAAATTAAAAAGTGAAGCAGATGATGATAGGGCATTTAAGAATAAATTGAAGACTTATCTCATCGAGTCATGTTTTTATAGTGTCTCGGAATTTATGTCTTAGATATGTTGTATGTTGTTTCTATATTTATGTGCATGTTTATGTTGTATAGGTAGTCTTTAACGTTTCTTTTTACTTGACATGTCATATATTATGTAAATAATCTGCAAGGATGAATAAAGTTTTATTATTATTTATTTATTTATCATGAAAACCAAGACAAAGTTGATCGACAAATTTAAAATCATGTATAATCACCACACGAAAATGTTCATTAGGGACTTTCATTCTTTCATAGAATTGATTGTTTTATGTACCCACATGTCTTAATTTTTGCTTTGATATTTTTTTATATCTACTTGATTTATTGTCCAAATAGGTTAGGTTATTTTTGTTTTTGTATTGTGATATATTCCGTAAAAGTATGTTACTAATTCAAAATAAATTGTTAGTTTTTAGAATCACTCATTCAAGAATACTCTCGACCAGTTGATTGTAAAATTCCGGATACAGATGAACATTATTCTAATTCTTGGTCAGACGATAGCATTAGTGAGGATTCAAATCCAGCAAAGAGAAAGAATTCTGTCACAAATGGAATTAGGAAAAATGGATTACAGTCGTAAGTTTTTTAAGTTCTCCCTCTTTTTCCTAGGAAGGATATTATCTTAAATATATTTTTAACACTACATATTTATTGTTGTTCTAGTTGCTCAACAATTTACAAAAGTCATTTAGAGTTTTTCATTCAATTCCATCTCCCATTGATCACAAAAGAGTTTTTGTTGTGATTTAAAATGTCGTATATTTGGATGGCGTTAAGCAGAAAGCTACCAATCCTCAATATATTTGATATTGGGTTAGATGTATATTTGGACAACAAAATATGTGTTCTATATTCTGTAAAAACCTACCACTCCTAGATTAATAATAACCTATAAAACTATAAAAATGCTAAGCCACATATTAAATTTATCTGATAATCTAATTGCAGAAACCTACCAACCCACTTGATATTATACTTTAATTTACAGAATCTTCCAACATTGGTAGTATTTTAATAAAGCGCCAGTTGCATCCAAGTAGGTTGGTAGCTTTCTGCAAATATTGGGCTCTAGAGATATAAAAACAGTTTTGTTTTTATTTAGTAAGTATAACCGCTGGTGGGTTTAATGTGTTTAGTTTTAATAGTTACACTAAAACTATTCTCTACTACTAAACTAAACTATATATTCACTCAGACTCAAAACAATTTTGGAACCATATAAACTCTTTGAATAAAAGCCACGGAATTCCAAATGTCATGCATTTGAATGATTTGTTAGCTGAATTAAGTGAGGAAATAGCAAACTTGTTTGCGAGCCATTTCTCTAGTGTCTATCGCTCAAAGTTAATTTAAGTAACTTCAATTTTAAAGTAAAAAATTCTGTTGGCATTCCTTTATCCAATTTTCACTTTCTGAAGTCTTTGAGTCTATAAATGGTCTACAGGTGTGATGTCCTCTCGTCACTATCGGGTAGCTTTTGGACAGTCAGAGACAGAGTTCAAAATAAAAATAAAACTTTATTGTCTTCCTTAAATTAAATTGACAAAAATCTTATGTTCATATTTACAATTTGGTTTAGTCTTCTCAGTACCTGGCCTATTTATCCAAATTAAGTTTGACCTTGTCATATGAAATTAGTCTTATCGGCAAGCGAGTGTGTATTTGAAATTTTACGAGAACGTTGTATCGATTTAATAACAGCGGACGATAGGTACAAAGAAAGAAAAGGAACTCAACACGTTCCTTAAGTGATTCGGGTTAATAGGACACTCCTCGACAGTCTCAACACGACTGCTTCAGAGTACGGGTAATGAAGAGCTCAACACGCTCTTCGGGTAACGGCGGTATGGAACGGAACAACTTGTGAACTCAACACGTCCACAAGCCGGGGTAGGGAAGAAGAGAACCTTCAGTCAACACCTGTCGATTCTGCTCTATGAGGACATGTTGCGGTTTATATAGCGGAGCTTGGTAATTAGTTTTGCCCTTTCTACTGTCGATACACTCCTACTACATGGGTTGGTTCGCGCGCACGCTGGTTTAACGGTGATGGCTTGGACTCATCGTTACACAAGATAAACTGAGTTATGGTCCTGATAATATTCCTACATATTTCTTAAAAAGATGTGTCTACAGTCTATCCAAATCTTTACATGTATTATTTAATTTATCTTTGAGACTACACACCTTCCCTAGTAAGTGGCGTGAAAGTTATATAACTCCTGTATTTAAAAACGGTGACAGAGACAATATAAAAAAATATAGGCCTGTTGTTATGTTATCTGCCATCCCTAAACTTGTTGAACTAATTCTAAACAAATATCTTACGTGGAATTGTAGGAATCTCTTGATTAATGAGAAACATGGATTTGGGCAGGGTAAATCTACATCTACAAATCTTGTTTTGTATTGTGATTACATTATCAGGGCTTTCGAGGATGGATACCAAGTGGACTCCATCTATACTGATTTCTCGAAGGCCTTTGACACACTAATCCATTCTTTACTCGTCTTTAAATTAAGATGTATTGGCATTCCTGAGTGATTTCTTTCATGGTTAAGTAGTTTTCTTGATGAAAGAATTCAGTTTGTTTTTATAAAGGGTTCACTTTCAATTCCTATCTTGGTCAGTTCAGGTGTCCCACAAGGTACACATGGGGGTAGTCTTCTCTTTAATTTGTTTATTAATGATATTTCTGAGGTGAATAAAAGGTTTGCTAGTTTTTGTTACTTCCCTGTATCATTGGTCTCTTTCCAATGGTCTCCAGTTAAATAAAGATAAGTGTTTTGTTTAGCAAATCTAAAAATAATATTTATATGCCTTAACAAATAAGAAATAATTTCTTATTAACGTGTAACGGGAAAACGTTGGTGTCCAGGAGAAAACGGAACTTGAATTCTTCCAGTTACTTGTTGGTTAATATTATTAGGACTTCCCGTGGTTTTAGTAAAGAACTCAAGACCATAAATGAAACTGTTTAATACTTCTATGTAAATGTAATAATATAAAAAATACTTAATTGTTTGTAATAATGAAATAAAAAGAAATGTTATAATAATAACGGATTGATTACGGCTGTCGCCGCTTCTCCGCCCCTTTTTTCCATCTTTTTTTCGCTCGATTTTCATTCGCTCGATTTTCAATTCGTCCCTTATCTGAGGTCCTCTCCGCGTCTCGATCTCCAGTTTCCGAATCCAACCGCAAGCTACGTCTCAGATAATCCATTTCTGTTGTCATAAGTTTGTTTCTATTAGCTTTGGTGACGTCCCATACTTCCGAACCGTAAAGTGTAATACTTTGGACTATACTACCGTAAATGTGTATTTTGGTTTCTCGTCGAATTGTTTTTTGCCAGAGAAGAGAATTTAAGGCACGGGTCGCTGCTCTGCCGCTCATCTGCGCTATTTCCCTTGTTGAAAATGACCCCCCAATATTTGCAGGATTGTACGCCTTTGATTTTGTCGTCTTCCAAGACTAGTCACATATTTCATCTGTTCCCACTGAGAGATATTCACGTTTTGTCATATTCATGTTTAGACCTGCTACCTCATATTCTTCGGCAATTACTACCGGATCAATCGCAAAGAAAAGTGTATATAGCTTGTTTTCTTCCACCTTTATTCCCATGTTTCTAATTTTTTTACCCATTTCACTAAGGATATGTCCAACTAGATTTTAAATAATGTGGGTGACAGACAGCAGCCTTGTCTTAGTCCCTTTGTTGTTTGAAAAGGAGAGGTGATTTCTTGTCTCATTTTAATTCTTGCAAAGTTTGTTCGTAGTATTTTTGAGTGGCGTTAATTAGAATTGGTTTATTTTCAAGTTACCCATTTCTATCCATATATAAGTTTTGTCTTATATATCCATGTATAAGTCCATTTTGATATACTTCCTTCTTTCTTTTTATCTTTTCTTCCTCTTCTTTATCCCACCAATGTGGTTTATCTACTCTCCGTACTTGTAGCCATAAGGCTTCTAGCGCTGCATCTTTCATGTAGTTTTTTATATGTTCGTATTCATCTGTCGTTGATCTGTGTGATTCCTGTAGTTTTTGTGTTAGTCTCCAGGAGTAAAGTAACTGTGTGCTCTCGTTATCTAGATTGTCTAAGGTTATGTAGTTCTTTATATTTTTTCTCTGTGTTCTTTGTTGATATCTGTGTGGTTCCTGTCTACGAATGGTGTATATATTTTTCCTATTATCAGGCAGTGGTCCGAGTCGCACTCTGCTCCTTTAATCACCTTTACGTCCTGTACTCTTAACTTAGTTTCTTGTCTTGTTATGAAATAATCTATTACCGATTTTAGGCCCCTTGTGTGTTGATACCAGGTGTATTTATGTATGTTCTTTTGGGCGAAAAAACCATTTAAAATCTTTAACTCATGTTGTTGGCATATATTTATGAGTCTTTCTCCGTTGTTGTTAACAGTATGTTCTCTATGCATGCCGCCTACCACTTTACTTTGTACTTGTTTTCCTACTCTGACATTAAGATCTCCTCCGCATACAATCTCATAGCTGTTAGAAATTTCGGCTCAGGAAGAAATATTACAAATATATATTATTGTTAGCACATATTATTAGTTCGACGTTTTGAAACAGAATGTCTTTTCCAACAGGAAAGTTGATTTCAGACAGATCTTTTCACGATCAAATTATCTTCACGACAGACTGTCACCGGGATCAAATTTTGCAAAAGATGACAGGGTCGTCGTCATATCATTTAGGTTTCAACAATAATAATAGCTTGTTTATCAATATTTTTTGATTTCACATATTTTCTTAATATATATTTATACGAATATATATGTATATATTATTAACTGATACATATATTATAATAACTGAACATTTTTTAGACTGGTTGAAACATTTTCTATATCTCCAACACAAAAGCTATTAGCCCAATTACTGGAAGAGAGGGTTCCACATTATCCAAGAAACGGACTAAATGGTATTAAAATGAACCAGTTAAAAGGTATATTTTTTGTTTTAATTATATATTTGATTCTGACAATGAAGAAAAATCCTAATATTTTTGAAAAATTTAAAACGCAGAATGGAAGAATACATTATTACCGAGGGCCGAAAGTCCTTGAAAACTCTATAATGTTTATTTTAATAAGTTGGAGGGGTGAAAAAAAAAAGAGAAAATTTAGTGTGATTTTTAATTTCAAATATCTCATTCAAAAAAACTTTTTGTTTATTCTAAGGGACTTTCGGCCCTCGGTAATAATGTAATCTTTCATTCTGCGTTTAAATTTTTCAAAAATATTTATTAATTTTCTCAGGATTCGAAAAAAATGAATGCATTTAAAAAACATTGGCCCAAAATTTTGCGCCTTCGCTCTTAAAACGTAATAATAAAGCCCTTAATTAATATAATCCATAAATATTGACCGCACTGTATATTTTAAAATGGCTTTAATATTTTCAGATGTGTCAAAATTAAAGACTACAGCAAGTGCTCAAAAATATGGTACCTGTTTGGATAGACGATTAAAAAAGGAACTATTGGAACAGGGTATTTTAACTGTAGAAGATTTGACAAGAGTATGTGTGACTTAAGTATTTAATTAATTATTCTTAGTTATCGGTGGTGTGATAAGTAACCACCTTCTCCAAATGGGGCGCTGCGACTTCGAAAAATATTAGTTCTAGAAAGTTCAACCTTTTGTAAGCCACAACATTTATTTAAAACTCCTTTATAAAAGGTATATAATTAAAAAGGCCCTTTCGCGCTACATCACAGAATGTTTTCGGAATTAATATTCCATCATCAGTGTTATCCTAAAAGTATATCAAAAAAAGAGGTTAGTCTTCGTAAGTGGGTATATTTATTTAAAAACCCTTAAAAGGGTTACATAAAAAAAAACAATTTTCGGACTAAACAGTCCATCATCAGGTTTAAAATCGCTAGATTAAAATGCCTGAGCCACCAAAATACATGGGTAAAAACCCTTTAAATTACATATAGTTATAAAAGATTATACATCTTGTTGTTAAAAAAACTGTGATGTTCAGTATTAAATTAAATGTTTCCAGCTGTTCTCCGTGCGTAGAGGTTTTCTCCCCGGCTCTGGAACTCAATTTTTACAATGTATGTTACCTGAAGTCATATTTAATTTAATACTGAACATCACAGTTTTTTAACAACAAGATGTATAATCTTTTATAACTATATGTAATTTAAAGGGTTTTTACCCATGTATTTTGGTGGCTCAGGCATTTTAACGTAGCGATTTTTAAACCTGATGATGGACTGTTTAGTCCGAAATCTTTTTTTTTTTTGATGTAACCCTTTTAAGGGTTTTTAAATAAATATACTCACTTACGAAGACTAACCTCTTTTTTTGTGATACGTGGTATACAGCCAGCTACAGGAATTGTTTTTCCTTATTTTTTTCTAAAAGTATATAACCACTTTAATTAAAAAAACATGAAAATTTCAAATTTTGACCAAGGTTAATACAAAATGTGGTTAATACTTACGAGAAGTACATGAATAGAAGGAAGTGTTGATTGAATGAGACATGGCGATTAATACAATTTGGACTTCTCTGCTTTTCTTCGATAATTTCAAGATCTTCATATAAGTCTAGTTTGCGGAAGTTTTTTGGGGAATAAGTGATACATCTTCTGGTATATTGAGGCTGTGGTCATGTTCTTTCAGATGTTGAGGAGAAAGTGGAAGTGTTTTCTCTTTTCATGTGCTCTAAAGATCGTGAAGACAATTCCAGGTGATGGGTGTAACTGTGAAAAGCTGCATATTTGTGTGACATAGAATAATTACAAGAGAAGGGTATTACTTTGGGTGGACTTTTGTAAACATACATGTCAAACTTTAGCGCGATGCAACCATTAGTATGTTTTTGACAGCTGCATAAACTTGATGTGTTTGGAAAAATGACGCATATGGAGAAAAACCATTTCTGATCTCTCATTAAAAAAACTGGATAAATATTGGAGGACTAATTCTTGGATACGTGGTACGTGGATGAACCACGTATTATGTAGCTCTTCGTTGTGTTTACACCGAAAAATGTGAAGAGAGTTGATTAGATGGTTCTACTGCTCTTAAAGTGAAAGTGCGAAAATTGGCAGAAGCCAAAAGAATTGGTGAAAAGTGCACTAGTCGAATTTTGAATGAAGCTTTGAATATGAAAAAATTATCCCGCCGAAGGCTGTTGCGTTTTCTGACCATTTACAAAAAACCTGTGATCTTGTGACCACTTATCAGCAGAATTTGGACCTTGGTCGATTAGTAACTGTTGATTAAACCTGGATCCATTACTACACACCAGAGAACAGAATTAACATACGGCAGTAGAATGAAGCCGCCAAAAGTGTTCCAAAGCGGCCAAGAGTGGCTCAATGGTCGGAAGAGATTATGTTCACTGAATTTTGGGATGGAAAAGGCATAATTTTAATTGACTGTCTTGAAAAAACTATCAATTACCAATATTATTAGACAAATTGAAGCAGGAATTCAGTGAGAAACGGCCCCATATGCGGAAGAAAGTGTTGTTTCTTTTAGGAGACTCACAAGATCGTTATGAAAATGACAAAAATTCATGAGTTTGGTTTCCAATGGCTTTCTCGTCCATCTTATTCTCATGATTTGGCCCCCTCTGATTATTATGTGTTACCAAATCTGAAGAGGTGGCAGGTAGATAAAAAATTCGGTCCGAATGACGAGCTAATTGACGAACTAAACACCTATTTTCGTATTATGCAGACGGCATAAAGAAGTTGAGAAATTGCTGAAATCGATGTATTGAGCTAAGAGGTCGAACTCTATTAGTATAGTTCATTGTATCAAATAAAGTAAAGAATTTTCGGGAAAAATATGTTCATTATAAGGAGGTTACTTATCAGAGCACCTAGTATTATTATTTTATTATATCAATATTATCTGTCTGTACTTTTATTGCCACGACAACATACTTTTTTATCCATTCTTGTATTTTATGGTTCATTAATTGAATGGTGGACCGCAACAATGTTGTAAACAACAGAATTGAGATTATGCAAGTGATGAAAAAAACTTATTGACTATTTATGAAAATAAGCACTGAAAAAAAAATCAATTTCACTTAACAAGATAAAGTTATAGATGTGTAAACAAATTATGCAGGTTTATACAGAGTAAGCAGAAAAAAATTATTTCAAAAAAAATATTTCCAGCAACATTATTGTATATACTGGATATATAACAGTGTTGCACCTAATTACTATGCGATATTTTGTCTTATTTAGGTTTTGAAAAAAAGTATCTAATATTAATAATAAACTATAACCAATTGAAAATGTTTTTAAATAGGTTTTATATGCTAAGTACACAGTTTAATGCTCCTTAAATTTAAAAGTGGGCGGGTGTCGACTTTTAAGTAAACGAAATCTCGTTTGTGCGCTTGTTCTTCATATTTGGCGTCCACTGTACTACATTTTGTACTATATTTTTTACTTTACAGTATTTTTTTGGTTCTTTTTTATCTTTTACAATATATTTTTAATTTTCAGAGCGAACCTGAAGATGAAGTTCTAAGTGAAATTAAGAAATGTCGGCAAGAATTAGTTGCTGTCAACGAATTTAATTTAGCCGAACTAAACAGACTCAAGCAGGCGACTTTGAATGACTTACATTGTAATGAACTGAAACTTCATTTAGAAAAATTGGACAAACATGTATTAGACTTATATAACAAAATAATCGTAACACGAAAAACCGCTCAGCAAGAAGAAGGTGATGATTTTGATAAAGATGTATTTTGCGAGCAAATGTCGAAAGAGTACGAAAATGAGGTCGATGAGTTAATCACACAACAATTAGAGCTTAATCGATGTGCAGATGATTTATTTTCATCTACGCAGAGAATTTACTGATGGTTAAATTCAATATAATTGGATCATCCAATAATGTAGACAGCCATTTTGTATTTCAACATTTTACGACACGGTTTTTGTAACATTCAATTAATATTTTAATAATATTTTATTTTATTTTATTTTATGTTGAAATGGTTTGGATATCAATATTTACGAAATATTAATTTTGTATTTGAAACTTTCCAAGTTTATACTCAGACATTAGTCGAACTCTATTAGTAAAGTTCATTGCTTTTAATTAATAAAATAAATCATAAATAAATCAATAAATCATCTGTGTTTAAACCGTGTCTTATTTGAGTCATCATCATCATCATCACTGGCTCGACAACCCTTTTGGGGTCTTGGCCTGTTCAAGGATTCTTCTTCATTCTGACTTGTTTCGTGCTTTTTTTTCCAGTTTTTAATTTTTAATGTTGTTATATCATTTTCTATTTGTTCTACGTATCTCAGCTTCGGTCTTCCTCTTGTTCTTTTTCCTACTGGCACTTGTTTGAATATTTTGTTTGGTATTTCGCCTTCTTCCATTCTTTCCACATGTCCAATCCAACGTAGCCTTCCTATTTTAATGAATGTTATGATATCCGGATCCTGGTATATGTTGTATAGTTCAAAGTTATACCATCTCCGCCAAATCCCGTTTTCTTTTGTGCCCTTATATATGTGTCGCAAGATTTTTCTTTCAAAGGTGGCTAATGACGTTTCCTCCCTTTTAGAGAGTGTCCAGGTTTCTGAACCGTATGTGAGTACCGGTCTTATTAAGGTTTTGTATATTTGGCATTTTGTTTTTCTGGAGACGTTATCTGATCTTAGTTGCCTAATCAAGCCATGGTAACATTTATTGGCAATAAATATTCTCTTCACTTCCTCTGCAACGTTGTTATCAGACGTAACTAGGGATCCTAAGTATGTAAAGTTTTTTACCGCCTCAATGTTGTATTCTTATTGTTAAATTTGGCAGCTGCCTTATTTGTGCGTTTTTATTTGCAGGCATATATTTTGTTTTTGTCTGATTGATTTTAAGACCACTATTTTTTGCAGCTCGTTCTATTTGAGTGAATGCCTCTATCATTTCTCTTCTTGATCTTGCGATTATGTCAACATCATCTGCAAATGCTAGTACTTGCACGCTTTTATTAATTATTGTTCCCCGGGTATTAACTGTTGTGTCTCTTATTATTTTTTCAAGTATGATGTTGAATAATATGCATGATAGAGCGTCTCCCTGGCGTAGTCTCTTCTTCACATCTATTGTTTCCGTTAATTCGTTTTGTATCCGGATTTTATTTTCTACTTTTAGTGTTTCTTTTATCAATTCTATTAGCTGTGTTGGTATATTAAATTCTTTCATTGCTTTTGTTAGAAATTCTCGGTTTATATTGTCATATGCGCTTTCGAAGTCTATGAAGAGATGATGTGTGTCGATGTTATATTCACTTGTTTTTTCAAGGATCTGTCGCAGAACAAATATCTGGTCTATTGTTGACTTCTGTCTACAGAAGCCACATTGGTATTTGCCAACTATTTTTTCAGCGTATGGTCTAAGTCTTTCATACATTACGTTGGACATTATTTTGTATGCCGCATTCAACAGCGTGATTCCACGGTAGTTTTCACTTACGTCTTATTTGAGTCCTTACACTTATTCCCACGACTGGGAAGAAAATGTAGTTATAGGGACTCGAGAAATCTTTTTCAAGTGCCATCTCATCATAATAGCTATTCGGATTTTAAGGACGTGTTTTGATTTGCATCCGTACCAATTTCTCAGGATGCACAGCCAGGATATTCAATGTCTTCCTACGCTTGTCATTCCTTGGATCTTTCCCTGCATAATCAGTTGCAGTAAGGTTTATCTTTCACCATTTCGCATTCTGAAGATGGTGAAATTACAATTTTCATTGTAATTTCACCATCTTCAGTGTACTTTTGCTTAGTACTTGTTATATAACCTCATTGCCAAGAAGAGGGTGGGTTTATATTCAATACTACATAGGTAAAAGTATTCATTTAACTGTTCGGGAACAATATGTCCCTACTCAAAACAGCACTCACGTAAGTTTTGGTCTGCAGACTTTGCCACTCTTAGCTAAGATATTTTCATTATTGACGATTTCAGAATGATTGTGACAGCGTTTTCAAAATCAGATTCATCTTCCGTATGGTCACCTGCAGTTAACTCGAGATTGGAAGGAATACTTTCATATAACGCATTCACTTCTTCATCTGCCATTTTCTGCAAATCAAAGTAATTGAATAGTAGCTACAGTTGTCACCACCCATATTAATCATTCTGTACTCGATTTTTCAATGATTAGAAAGAATAGAAATTACTTAGCCATTTTCTTTACTTTACTTAGCCAAGACATAATAGATGTGGTGACTCACAGGGAAACCGCCGGGACCACTCTGTAAAAAATTCTGAAAAGATAGTGTCACGCTCATATCGTTGGGATGCAAGGGGAGTTTTTAAAAATAAACCAACTTTACATTTAAGATTTCTGTTTCCACCGCGGAAATTTAAGTATTACAATAGACTCGCTATTATCCGAGGTAATTGGGATCGTGACTACCTCGGATACCGAAAAATCTCGGTTAACACTGAGATTGGTTATACTGATAGAAACCTGCGTAAATGTAAATAATGCTTAGTGTGTTTATTTTAATAACTAAAAACTAATATAAAAGTAGTAATAGTAATATAAAAGATAAAAATGTACCTTATAAATGTTACTGTTTAAAAAGTCTTTGATTAATTTTTGTTTTAATTTCATTCCTCTTTTTGAGGCGGCGATGTTGCTAACGTTAAAAATGGAGGACGTCTAATGGTGTCCATTCTTCTTGTTGCTCGATGTGTGCGAGAGCTGCTTCAAGGGATTTCAATCCGTCAAAATGAATCTTTTGAGTTATCTCATCTGTATCTTCTCCTTCATGGGTGACGTTTAAAACTAGATCGGCAATTGCACCATCTGTCAGTTCTATTTCTTCATCTAGATATATCCAATCGATGATGTCTTGGTTTCTGATTGTTTGTTCTACTGGTAATTGATTGGCTAGGTTGGCTATAGAATCAACTTCACAGTCATCAGTTTCATTTTGAACGTCTTGTGTTTTGTTGTCTATCTAAATAATTTTTTCCACGACTTTTGAATAGTAGACACTTTTACGTCGTCCCAAGCAGATGCAATCTAATAGTAAACATCTTTAACCGTGATCTTCTTCAATGCCTTAATTACAGTCAGACCTTCATCCAGCTTAGTTAGCAGTACCTGAAGAAGCTTCCGCCGATAATTCCTCTTCATTGCTTCTATAATGCCTTGGTCTAAACGTTGAATGAGAGACCTCACATTGAGTGGAGGGAACACAGCTCGTATGTCACCACTAATCAATTCACTCACATCTGGGTGGGATCGTGCGTTGTCCAACAACAACAAAGCTTCCCCTTTTGAATGTCCTTGGATTTCTGGATTTTCCAATTAAATGAGGTTTTAATTTTAATGAACCAGAAGCTTTGTTGCAAGTTATAATTGAGACTCTCTCTTTGCTTTTTTTTTTGTAACCTGGTGCAGTTCCTTCATTTTTAGCAGCTAGTGTTTTCGATGGAAGCATTTTAAAGGTAAGGCCTGTCTCATCACAGTTAAATATTTGGTCTGAAGTTAATCCATCTTTAAGGATGTCTTGTAATTTTAAATAAAATGTTCCAATTTCAGTTGAGTCAGCAGAAAGTTTTTCGTCGCAAATATTCAATTGTTGGATACCATATTTCTTCTTCATAAATCAATCCATCCTTCACTAGCACAACAGTTTTCTCCTCCATCCATTATCTTCTTCTGGAATTCAATAGCTGTTGCTTGGAGTATTGGACCACTTATCGGGCTGTCCAATTCTCTCATTTGTGCAAACCACAAGAACAACGCCTCAGAAGTTTGTTCATGCCCCCTTTCTTTATAGTCTTCCGGGCCAATCCACTACCACCACTCACAATTTGGTTGACCTACTGCTCGATTTCATTCCGCTTACGCTTTCAATCTCCAACAGATACTTCTCCGACACCTAAATCTGAAGCAACCTTCTTTATTGATTCACCCTTGTCCAACCTCCTAATTGAATTCAGTTTTTATTTCCAAAGATACAACTACTCTCTTCCGCTTTCCACTCATATTGCACAGCACAGATGCTCTCTTACACTCACAGAAATTAACTTATGGAAAATTAGTTATGAAACCGAAACTAATAAACTCGAATAAATACACAAAACAGTACATAAAAGAAAAACTTTTACCGTACAGTAACTTAATTTGACGATCTGAATGACAGCAAACAAATCGGTAGTTCAATTCGCACTGATTAAAATAGAAAGGAACAGGAAGTTGTAGACAAAACACGACCCAGAAATTTCTGGAAATAAGCCGGTGACCAATTTCTGAGAATTACCGACTCGACATCAGCTTGACCTAAAGCATACCTTACACACAATTCCACAACTCTCTTCTTATCAATAATCCACAATTTTCAATGGATTGTCTATATAATATCTGCCGATATAACTTGTGACCATCGACCCTTTTTTATTACTCGATATTGTGATTCAAAAAGTACGACTATAAAAGTAAAACTGTGGGAAAATTTTGCCTAGGTTAACCGAGGGGCTCGGATAATCGCGAGTCTACGCATTTGAACTATTTTGGAGCTGGAAGTCGAAAGGTCAAATATAAGGTATTTTTAGTTAAAATTGTGACTTATTACCATTAAATATAGTAGTTAAAATCCAAATTGAATCTGCGGTTTTTAGTGTAATTCGCGATCAAGAAAGCCGAATCGAGAATAGTATTGAGTCATCCGAAAGGATGAAGTTCATTATTTGTGCGCCCTATAACTCAAGGTTTTGACTTGCAGCTATGCTATACTATTTTATCATATCTGCTATTCATCTTATTATGCCGTCTCTTTTAGAAAGTTGGCGATCCAAATGCCAATTGTAGCTTTGGAAACTGTTA